AACTTCATGTGGCTTAAAGAGCTGCAGCCAGATTGTTGACCAGGGGCTGCTTATAGGGAGCTAGAACAGCCCTGCTAACTACCAATCTGTTTCTGGGCACAATTCATAGTGCTGGTTTTGACCTATAAAGCCCTCTATGGCTTAGGTCCAAGCTATCTGACAGACTGTATTCCCTCATATCAACCTGCCCAGGTTTTGAGATCTCCAGGGGAGAGCCTTCTCTCTGTCCCACCACCCTCACAGACATACTTGGTTGGGATGTGGGAAAGGGCCTTCTTGTTGGCTTCTCCCGGACTCCAGAACTCCATTCCTGGAGAAGCTAGACTGGCTCCTCTACTAGTTGTCTTTCTGCCAACAGATGAAGACTTTCTTGTTCCAACAGGTTTTGGGGAACTGATGGCTTTTAGTAAAAGAGCTTGTGCCGTGCTGCTTTTATTGTAATTATTGGTATGGTTTTAATAGATTTATGTAGTTTTTATTCTATCAGTGTTTAACTGTTTTTAAATTATTATTATTATTTTTCTGTTTTAAGTGGTCCTTATTTTTATCTGAAATCTGCCTTGAGCCCCCATCAGGGGGAAAAGGTGGTGTGTGTGTGTGTGTGTGTGTGTGTGTGTGGAACAACAACTTGTTTCCTCCTCTTTTTTGTTTGCCTTACTTTGTTTTGTTTTTTTAACTACTAGGGGCTGCTGGACATCCTATATTGCTTGCCAACCCTGACTACCTCCTTTGCCAAACTTCCATCCTTTACCTCTTACCCAAATTTCCAGTCACTGTGACTCCTTCTGCCCCAGCCACCTCTACCCTAACTCTGCCAACCCACCTCCCTGTTGCCAGTCCCTGTTTCCCTGCAGGCCACCCGCAGGTGTCACCGCCACAACCCACAATTTGCCCCAAACTCCCCTATCGGCTCAAAACGTGCTCCAATCCCAAGATCCCACTGCCACCCACAGGAGGAGAGTTTTTCTCCTCTGTGCTCCATCCTGCCAGCAGAAGTAAGTGGGTTGCAGCATGAGGTGAAAGACTTTCTCCTCTTCAGAGGACACGGGAAGGCCCACCTGGGCCATCTTTTGTCTGCTCACTCGCTCAGCCTGTTTGCTTTGCTTGATCGCCTTGCCTGCTGTTGTCATGCTGCAGTTGCAGCACATGATGACAGCCTAAGGTTTTTATGTATATAGGAAGATAAAGAAAGGAGAGGAATGCAGACCATAAGGCAGGGGTGGGAAACCTGTGGTCCCCCAGATGTTGCTGCACTCTGGCACCCACCATCTTTGCCCATTAGCTACACTGGTAGGAGCTGATGGGGGTTGGAATCCAATAATAATAATAATAATAATAATAATAATAATAATAATAATAATTTGTTTGTACCCCGCCCATCTGTCTGGGTTTCTGCAGCCACTCTGGGCGGCTTCCAACAAAGATTAAAAATACATTAAAATGTCACACATTAAAAACGTCCCTGAACGTCCCTCTTAAGATGTCTTCTAAATGTCAGGTAGTTGTTTATCTCTTTGACATCTGATGGGAGGGTGTTCCACAGGGTGGGTGCCACTACCAAGAAGTCCCTCTGCCTGGTTCCCTGTAGCTTTGCTTCTCGCAATGAGGGAACCGCCAGAAGGCCCTTGGCGCTGGACCTCAGCGCTCAGGCAAACGATGGGGGTGGAGACGCCAACAACATCTGGAGGGCAACAGATTCCTCATCCCTATAAGGGATAAAATCAGAAACGTTTCCTGTGTAGCTTCCATTTCTAACCATGTGTGCTAGGTATAATAGCTGCACAGAGCCAGGAAGAGTTGCTCCCTTGGTCAGTTCTGGGGAGATGAATGTTGCCAACTTTTATACTGACCCTGCTCCTGTACATGAAAAGCAGGCTGACAGCAGCAGTTCACTAGCTGAGGCCTTGGCCTTGCACATCACTTTATCTTCATGCTGCAGAGCCAGTGAAATCGTTGGCAGTCACATTTGTTACTTGTGGCCAAATGGAGTTGCCCGCAATACAATATTCATATAGGTCTGCTATAAAACAGGGGTGAGTTGGAACCTCAGGCTCAGGAGCCAAAGGAGGCCCTCCAGGTCTCGCTTTCCTGCTTTCAGGAAATGGGAGTGTGTGTGTGTGTGTATAGAAACTTCCATTACCCTGATCACTGGTGTGTGGTCTAGAAACATCCCTATAAAGAAATTTGGACTCTCTCTCTCTCTCTCTCTCTCTCTCTCTCTCACACACACACACACACACACACACACACACAAACATCATGCAGTCATTGCTGACATCTACCGCCACCCCGTTGCCCCTCCTTCCCAAATCTCCTGCTGTTTATCTCTCTGTACATCAGCCATTACTGCTGCTTTCCTCCTAAAAATGCAAGAGATTTGGAAGCCAAATAATGGCCTCTCTTGTGTGCTAATGCCCTGGATAGCAGCAGTCCTTTTGTCAGTCGCAGACACCAGTGGGCCCATTTTTATCCTGTTTTCTGCATTCTGCTGGCTTTGATTTCAAAAATATGCAATGGGGGTTAAAGCTTTCTGCTTCTTTCCTGCATGATTAAGAAGGGCACCACGACTAACATATTCATTATAGAACATGTTTACAGGGCCAGAGACTTGAGAGGGAAAACTTTGGTTCTGGAAGGGATTGTAGTGGATAAGAAGATGAGCTCCATGGGAAATTTAACCCTGCTTGCTTGTTATGAGATAAGGAGGTTTGTTTGTCTGTTTGTTTTTGTGTTATAGCCCACTCTTTTTTTGTAGAAAATAAACTGTAAATCAGAGGCTTTCATAAGACTTTTATTTTTTAATAGTGCCCATAGGAATTAGGGAGTTAGCTGACCCCTGGCAGATTGCAGAAAGCAGTTTTCACTGCACACAGGTGGTGTAGTGGCAATAAAGGTTTATTATTATTATTCTTTATTTTAGAAAATACAGCAGTTTTAGAAAAAAAGCCCATGAATAGCATGTAATAGCATATGATGCAGCCTGCATAATCACACACATGCACACACATATGTGAGTGTTTTCTTTGTTGGATTAATGGCATCTGGGGAGGAGGGTGTGGAGATATGTCTGTTTTCTTGATGAATGCTGATCAGACACATGAGTATTAGCAGTGACACTAATTAACAGGGGGAGGAAACGCTTGTCATTATCCTGAGGGTGAGTAATCATTTTTGGCAGGTGATAATTAATGGTCTGGCAAAGTCAACAGGAAGACAATCTGTCAGCCTTGGGGAAAGCTAGGGACCCACCATAAAAAAAAAAACTACTTTCATTTCTCGGTGCCTCTCAGGAGTCCTTTGGGCTTTCAAAAATGGTACACATAAAGGGGTGATTGTGCGGTGTTTCTGGAATTATCTTTGTACAAGCTTTGCAAATCTTCAGAAACTCCAAATTGTTTTGGAGTGTGGAAGGATGGCTGGCTGACTTGATTGAGTGACTGATTCATTGATTGATTGGGAGGCATAAATATTTGATTGACCAGAAAATCTGGTTGCTGTCCTAAGCAATAAGTTGCCCGAGACACTGAAGGTATTGCTGTGTGCAATGTTTCTAACTTGCTGTAAACCAGGGACAGCAAACGCTGTACCCTACAGATACAACTCCCATCAGTCCTAGCTAGCATGGCCAATGGCCAAGGATGATGGAAGCTGTTATCCTGCAGCATGGGCTCCCCATCAATGCTGTCACATCGCACATCCAACAGGTAAGAAGACGGCAGAACAGAGAGAGTTCTGCCTCCACTGCCAGAGGCAGCATGGCTCTGAACGACAGTTGATGCTTGTGGGGCTCCTGTGGACATCTGGTTGGCCTCTGTGAAAACAGGCTGTTGGCCTAGGTCAGGGGTCTGCAACCCGCGGCTCCGGAGCCGCATGTGGCTCTTTTACATCTTTGCCGTGGCTCCGGGGCGGATACTAGCGAGGGGAGGAGGCGCATTGTGCGCCCCGACACTCCTCACTGTGGCGGGTGCTGTACTGGCTGTGACGTCGCATGGGGGCGGTGTGTGCATTAGTCACGCACCGTCCCGACGTCACCTTCCCGCCCGCTGTCAGATCGCGGCTCCGGAGATATATTTGTTTTAAATGTCGCAATGGTTTTGCGGCTCCCAGTTGTTGTTTTTTCTTCGGAAACGGGTCCAAGTGGCTCTTTTTGTCTTAAAGGTTGCAGACCCCTGGGCTAGGTGGACCACTACTCTGATCCCGGTTCTTATGAATGAAGGAGGTGCATGAGTGCGTGTAGAAACTAGCCTCCTATAAGGTAAAGGTAAAATGTACATTGGTTGCTTTACTCATCTTTGCTTCTGGCTCTGAAGGCTGGTGTGTGGCCTTCAGAAGATTGCCTAGAAGGGAGGGCAGCCATTGGGCTTAAGGAGGTTCCCTGGCCTTCCCTCTTTTACAGTGGTACCTCGAGTTACATACGCTTCAGGTTATATATGCTTCAGGTTACAGACTCCGCTAACCCAGAAATAGTGCTTCAGGTTAAGAACTTTGCTTCAGGATGAGAACAGAAATCGTGCTTCAGCGGCGCAGCAGCAGCAGGAGGCCCCATTAGCTAAAGTGGTGCTTCAGGTTATTAAGTACTTAACCCGAGGTACCACTGTAATTAGAAACGGATACAACATTGCCAAGAAGTGTCAGCATTTAAACTGACAGCATGACAATGGGAACCACATCAAAGAAAAAAAGAAAGACGCATCCTGCCTCTACTGACTATATTCCTCATTTGCTGACTTCATCTTTGCTAATCTGTTGCAAGAGAACTTGAAAGTCTCATCCTCACCTACCAGAGCGGGGGGGGGGGGGGGGGCTCAACAATTATCCTGGTTCTCCTCCTGATGACAACATTGCTTCTGCTGTAAAAAAAAAAAACAACATCCTGGAGCCGCACCCCTCCCCACAGCATTTCATCTCCACCACACCACTGAAAATAGTTCTTATTGCTTATGTATTCTTTGTCTCATTCCTTTTGGCTTTCTTCCTTTCCTTTCCTTTCCTTTCTCTAGGGACTGACATAGTGCAGTGGCTCATGAAGAATCTCAACATTGAAGACCCAGGTAATTTGTTCTTTTAATGCCAAAAAATATATAAGCTTGGGGCTTGGTATTATCTATGGCTTGCAATATTGTATGCTATAAAATTGAACTCGGAATCTTGTGATTCTGTGGCATCCCAAACTGAAGGGTTGAGAATTTGTTGCCAGATTCTGGGAACGCTGTTTCTGAGACCCAGGTGGGAAAAGTGACCACAAGGTGAAAGAGGGATTGAAAATTGTTTCGTGCCATCCCTAAATGAATTCATTTTCTCTTCTGAGTTCTCCAGAATTCTTTCTAGCACATTTGGATTGATGAAAACCTTAGAGAAGGATAGGGAGATTATAGCAGAACCTGGGGTTGCAATCCTGTACCCACTTACCTGGGAAGAAGCTCCAATGAATTCAGTGGGATCTGTATGTCTCTGAATGAAGGCTCCAGATGCACCTCTGTGGGGAAAGACTCCCACAGCTTAGGGCCTATCACAGAGAATGTCCTCTCTTGGGCCACCACCAGGCTCTGAGGGTGGAGGAACTACCAAGAGCCCCCCCCCCCGCCAATTTTAGCACCCAAGCATGTCTGTAAGGAAGGAGATGTTCATGGCTCGGGGATTGCTGTACCAACAAGGTCCTGCCACCCTAGGCCTTGGGAGATGTTGCTTTGTATAGATATTTGACACATATTTTTTCTGCCTTAATTTCCAGCTGAAGCAATCCATATGGGAAGTCTCATTGCAGCACAGGGATACATTTTCCCAATCTCAGATCATGTACTTACTTTGAAGGATGATGGGACTTTCTATCGCTTTCAGGTAATTTGGATTACACAACGACCCAACACCCTCCTTGATATGAACTTCCTGCTTTCTCCTTGACAAGAGGAATAAACCTAGAGTAAAGGCATTCCATCACACACCTCCTGCCTTCTAACTTTTGGAGGAGCTGCTTTAGTTGTCTGACAGCGGCATGGAAATGCTTAACTTTTATTATAACTGAGCAGCGCTGTTGACATTAACAGATGCTTATATATAAAGTTAAGTTTGGGGGGGTTGGTTTGTTTTAACTGTGACAGAGATTCCTTTTTTAACTAGTAGGGCTAGGTGTTGAGTCTCACACCTTTTTGGTTGCTAACCATGTGTTCTACCACATACTTATGCCCCGTGGCATGGCATATTATGATCAGTCTCATGCCCAACTTATTTTCCTACACTTTCCACCCAATTGGCAGCTGACAGACCCACAATGCGATGCAGCAAGGGAAGTTATAGTACTGTTCCAGTCTGCCTTGGTCAGATCCCATCTGGAGTACTGTGTCCAGTTCTGGGAACCACAGTTTAATAAGGATACAGTGGTACTTCTGGATTTTTGACTTTCGAGAACCGAAATGTACGACAATGGAGGCATTCGGGAACTTAGGTACCACTGTATTATTGACCAAGATGATAAAGGGTCTGGAAACCAAGCCTTCTGAGGAACAGTTGTGGGAGTTAGGTATGTTTAGCCTGGATAAGAAGAGACTGAGAGGAGATATGATAGCCATCTTCAAATATCTAAAGATGTGTCACATGGAAGATGGAGCAAGCTTGTTTCTCCTGCTCCGGAGCCTAGGACCTGAACCAGTTACAAGAAAGGAGATTCCAGCTAAACATCTGGAATAATTTTCTGATGGTAAGAGCTGTTCAGCAGTGGAACAGACTCCCACGAAAGGTGGTGGACTTTCTTCTTCCTTGGAGGTTTTTAAGCAAAGGTTATATGACCATCTGTGCTAGTTGTGATTCCTCCATCTGTGTTAGTTGTGATTCCTCCATTGCAGGGGGTTGGACTAGATTACCCTCAGGATTCCTCCCCACTTCCTCCCAACTCTAAAGTTCTAAGATGAGACTTGAGTCTGCCAGCTTGTTTCGACTGCCCAAACCACATCAATACACACATTTCTGGGGGGAAACTCCCCATCTTCCTGCTGGAATGGCTACACATTTTGGTTACATCACATGACTTTATATCAGTTTTCTTCATATGAGGAGGCAATGAAAGAAAATATAATTCTCACAATATTTTACAACTGATCAAATCTTGTTTTTATGAATATTTCTCATAACATAAGAATGTCCTGTATACCTGAAGGAGCGTCTCCACCCCCATTGTTCAGCCCGGACACTGAGATCTAGCGCCGAGGGCCTCCTGGCAGTTCCCTCATTGCGAGAAGTGAGGTTACAGGGAACCAGACAGAGGGCCTTCTCAGTAGTGGCGCCCGCCCTGTGGAACGCCCTCCCATCAGATTTTACACACACACACACACACACACACACACACACACAAATTGTTTTTAAAATTGTTTCTATACATACAATTGCTTTAACTGTTTTTTATATGCGTAACTGTTGTAAATATGTTTTTGTTAAATTGTAAATTACTTTGGGATGCCTCATGAGAAGTGATTCATAAAATAAACATATTAATTATGATAACAGGAATAATTATATTTGAATGCATCATAGTGATAAAAATTCACTGTTTTTCAGGCTCCATATTTTTGGCCTTCAAATTGTTGGGAACCAGAAAACACAGACTATGGTGAGAATTTGGGGTGATATAATTTTTTAAATGTTATTTGTAAATGTATCTCCAGTGACCAAGTTGTTCTAAAAAGAGATGGTTCGTTATATGACCCACATTGCTTCTCCTTTCCCATGTAAGAAACAGTTCTATTCGCATGAGTAGAGCTGGACTGTCTTTCAGTTTGGATGATAATAATAATATTAACCTTCATTCAACTGACATGCAGCATCTCCTGGAGCAAATTCATGATATATAAAATGAGCAAGCACAAGAGAAATTAAGGGATGAATTATTAAATTAACAGTAGATTTTTTTCAAGAGCAGTATTTCCCTCTTCCTAGCTGAACACTTGAAAATTGCTGAGGGTCTTGGTGGCCCACTTAATGATATCACTTCCTGTTGTAGCAATTGTAATATGCTGTGCTAGGTGCAGAATTATTTTTAATTGTATTCTTCTGGCTTCTTTTATTTCTCATATTATACTTACTGTATGTAATACAATTTGAACTCTATGGAAATTTAAATTTAATGCAACGGATGTGCATATTGTGTTAAACATCTTAATCCTAGCCTCCCAGTAACTTTTAACTAATATAATATGTAAAAGAACGGCAGATATATGTCAACAGATCGCTCTAGTTTTTAATTATTGTGAATCATTTCTCCAGGGCTCTCTCCAATCTCACAGTGTTTGGGGAGAAGATTTAAAAACTGTTATGTTTTTCCTGTGTACTCATGCCTTATCTAGTTCTGCCACTAGGGGCCCCAGTGTAACCTTGCTCCAGAGCTATCCTGAGTTGGGGCCCCAGAGGCATTTGGGGAGAAATTAAAACCATGGGCACCAGCCACAATGTTTCAGTGGCTGTCAAGACCACCTCCCTCCCCTTTTTTTGCTTCTGCTCTGTTGGCGCCCACCTGCCTCAAGGCAAGCAGAGCTGAGCCGAAGTCACATCACAGTTTTGCCCCCACTCCCCATACATTCATTTTACCCTGGAAACATTACAGTCATACCTCGGGTTGAAGTTTCTTCAGGTTGAACGCTTTCGGGTTGCGCTCCGCTGCGACCCGGAAGTAATGGAACGCATTACTTTTGGGTTTCGCCGCTTGAGCATGCGCAGACGGTCAAAATGACGTCACGCACATGCACGGAAGCAGCGAATCGCGACCTGCAGACGTGCAGTCGCGGGTTGCGTTCGCTTCAGGATGCGAACGGGGCTCCGGAACGGATCCCGTTCGCATCCTGAGGTACCACTGTACAGTGTTTTTCAGAGCCAACCCTACTATTAAGCTGGTTTTGGGTGCCATGATTGGGCAGCAAATTGTTAGTTGTTTAATTTATTATTGTTGCATTTTTACTATTGGGGAGGGGTGCTTGTGCAGTTTGTGCCTCTAATGCCAAATAATTTGACAGCCTTTGTTACTAAGCACCTTGATTTAGGATAGGGGCACCACTTGTTGCTCCCCTTGGGCCGGCCGTGGTGATACTAATTGTTGTGTGAAAAGGTCCTCGGGCAGACATTAAGAGTAATTTCAATAGTGCCGAGCCGGATACAAAATTGCGTACAGAACAGAGCAGAGATTAAGTTAACATGGAAATTAAGATAGGACTTTGTTCAGATGCAACAGTGTCGATCTACAGCTGCAGATATGAATGCACTCCCTGTGTATAAAATGATTGCATTGTAAAATGCCTTAAGGTTATTGCCATCTAGCATCATTAGTATGGTTTTTGTACGAAGGTCAGACTGTGATCTGTGGATGAATTTGGTGTTCTGTACGATAAATGATGATGTAGCCTGGACGCTAATATATAGTCTGGCTGATCAATAAACTGTTCTCTAACCAAAATTAGAAATCCCTTAACAGCAGTAAATGAAAATGGCGTTGCATTGATGTATAGCGGGGGGAAAGAAGAGTGATCAGTTTATATTAGCGGCTGGTGTCTGGCGTTGGGAAAGAAATAACAGTGGTTTATGAGCTAATAAACCACAGAATTCTCTATTAAATGTCTGAACAGCTTGAGTACTAATGCATAAAAGGAATATGTCAGCATTGTTATCTTTAGCTGTCTCTATGCGTTATTGCTGTCTCTTCTACAGCCTTACTCCTCTCACGCTGAAATGATAAAATCAATTTTTCCATTCAACCGGGGCACTGGCAAAGGAAATGAATATACCTGTGCTCATAAAACAAGGGCTTTTGGCAGTGCTTTTTTTTTTACAGGTTGACCAGAAGCAATTTATGACCACACAAAACAAACAAACGAAAACCCTTTCTTCCCTGTCACTGCACAATTTTTAATAAATATATTGTAGGATTTGTAGTTATAGTTGGAAGCAGAGTTGCCATCACTGTGGAAGTCATATAATGGTAATCACATTTAATCTCTTATTTAACTGTTAATAACTCCAACAAGTCAGTAAGAAAAAAAGATGTATAACAAATAATCCTTCTCCTTCTATAGGCATTGAGTCTGTTGTGCAGCTGTCTAAGCTGTTCTGAGTCCATTTTATTTCAGTGGGAGATATTTAAGCAAGTGCTTCATGCTTAAGAGATGGCAATTTCTGTTCCCTTATAACTGGCAAAATCCATCCAGTCGGTAACTCAATACATTGCTGCATTTGCATTGCAGGCTATTGGACCAGATGAGTTTTGGGGCTGCCATTTTAACCATGGGCACATTTTTTAAGGGAAATACATCCTAGCGCGTAGAGCATGCACAGGGAACCATCTCGAAAGACTCGCACTCACCGTCAAAATTCTTCTCCCATGTTATTCATGTTGACGTTTTGCTAAGATTTATTTTATTATCATTTATTCTGTTTGTATCCTACCAATCATCATGAAGTAGCTCAGGGAAGCATTTGTATGATACACACAACAATTCTACAGACATGCTCAGAATTTCTGGGTACCCAGAAATGATTTTTTTTGTGATTCAGGCATCTGAAAAATGTGATTTTGCAGTTATGGGAGTTGGTCCACACCTGTGGCTGGGTTTATTTTTCCTGTAGCAACTGCCCTTGCCTTAATGGTGACATTTTGTTTTCTTTCTCTCCATAGCTATCTATCTTTGCAAGAGGACCATGCAGAACAAAGCGAGGCTGGAGCTGGCGGATTATGAAGCCGTAGGTATACTGATTTTACAGTTACAAAGTGTAATGTTGTCCTCTAAAGCAAACCTCTTTTCTTTGTACAACAAACTTGAAGGTGGGATCTGTGCTTTCTAATCGTTGCTTCTATCTGGAAACTCTTAAATAAATGTCAAGAAATTCATGCTCTCTCACTTTTTGGATGCTTGTTAAACCACAGTGGATGTTTATTCCTTCACAACCCAGTGCTTCCTCTGGCTTGCTAAACAGATACACATTCCATCCCTGCAACCCAGCCAGAACTGCCAATTGACTCTAACCACCAACCATGGTATATTTAAAAATTTCATACGCTATATTATCACTCTTTACAGGGTTTTACTCCCACACATTTCCAACTTCATTATTTATAAATTCAGTTACAAATCTTTGCTTACTATCAGCTAGTCAATTGTGCGGGTTATAAAGCTTCTTTATGAATCACAAAGGGTTTACTCAGAGCCAACAGTCACGCTCTGGTATACATGCAGAGAAGGCATGGCACCAAAATGCAGTATTCTGGGGCCTATTGAGAGCAATAATTATCAGACAAGGCCAAACGATTAGATCATCTTTCATTTTCTTCAAGCCCATAGCTCACGTGATGAGCAACCACATCAACACTTGCCCGGTTAATTAAAGATAAGAGTGGTGTGTGGCTTTAACAGAAGCTCTTGTTAAAACTAGGAACTCCATTTTTTATTTTTTTTTTGGAGTGATTTTGTTTTTGTGGTTGCAAACAAACCATTGGATATATTACTGCAGATGTTTTGGAGGTTTTTGTAATTCCTTTTTTTTTTTTACTATCTTTTTTTCCTTTGCTTATACCTTGTTTTCCCATTCTTTTGTCTATATGTGAGTTCGTATCTATTTAATTTTTTTAGGCAAGGCATGTTGTCTGCATATTCTGGCTCACGGTGGATTTGTCGCTTAAAATGGCTGGGCTTTAATATTTAGTCCACTGTGTTGGCAAGGCCAATGATGCCTTCCTATACAAGTCAATATGTCATTTTAGATAGTGAACTTACTAAATGAGATTCCCGTTGTGGCATTTCCATAGTGTAGGTTGCTTCAATAATACATTGGGGGGGGGGGTAGAGAGAGAAAAATACACATAATAGATACATTATATGGAAAGAATTGAGCTAAAATTGAGTGCTTTCAAGTCCTACTGACTGGATTGAAATGTTAGGTAGATACTTGAAACGCTCCCATTTAAGTCAATGGGACTCTAAAAATGCTGGCTCAAATCCTCTCTACCAATGCCACACTGACATCAAGACCATGGGACTCATCTTATGTGAAGCGAACAGACAGCAGCTAAATAATTCCCAAAATACTGGGGTACATGAAACAAAGGGGGGTGCACACCAGTAATACAAGAAAGGTGGTTTCATGCCCTGCTACAACTCAAGGTATTGTGTTATGTTCTTTACTCCTTTATGCCCATTGCAATTTCCATTCTTGTCATTTCAACTGCCGCCACCATTGCTTTGTGACTGTCCGGCTTTGCAGATACACGTGACTGACGTTATAATGAGAGGTTCATTTTGAGCACAGGTTGGTATAATTGGTGGCTCGCCTCATCTTCCTCTCTCGTTTAGGAGAACTTGGCAAGACTCCAGAGAGCTTTTGCAAGAAAGTGGGAATTCATCTTCATGCAAGCTGAAGCTCAAGTGAAGTAGGTACCAAGTGAACGAATCTTCTGGGGAGAGAATGTGTTACGGCTAACCATTCCTTCTTAAAGCTTAGGTTTCAAGGGTACATTTCCCTTCCCCTCTGCAAAGTGGAGGGAATTGAAAGATGCATTCCGTTCAGGATCTGAACAGCTAACATTCCTTCACCGCATAGCTGGCTCCATTCACAAGGAGAACCTCTCCATTGATGGCATCAGCCACCAGACATGTGCAGCTCTGGCATGATGATTATGTGGTCTTCATATGGTTGCCTCTTCGCCCTTCCCCCTCCCCCAAAAATGCTGTCTTTGGATGAAGGGCAGTATATAAATTTAATAAAACAAACATAAACATCACCCATATTTTCTGTGGGTGATACCCAGTGCCGCACAAGCAGATTTCCACTTGTTCAGTGGGACTTCTCCTTCCTCTGCAGTCCACCATGTGTGCGCATACACACACACATGTGCGCACCAATTGTCTCTGGTGGGACCCTCATTGGATATCACCCTGTGCATGGCTTGTACATGGAAAGGGCAGGTGGGAATGATGGCATTAGGCCTAATTTGTCATTGTAAATGGCTGACTATTGAGCCATCACCTGCTGTTGAACCAATGAATCATTTCAGTGATTTTGCATATTCTCAAAACCACAATACATTAATTTGTCTGAAGATGAAGCTCCCTGCCCCCTCCAAAAAAAGAGAAAATAAATAAAGATGCCTTCTGCAATAAACATGTCAGCTTACAATTTGGTAGACAAAAATGATCGCACCTTGCTGGAGGGGATTTATTTATTTCATTAAATTTATGTTTGGTTGTGAAAAACCTGAAAAGAGAATAAAAAAGATGACATTATTGGTAAAAACAGTTAAGAGCAACTGCTGAAAACGTTAGAAAAAACACAAATTTTGCAGCAAACTAAAAACAGATTAAAACATACAGTCTGTATTACAGCACCATCTTTCCCCCCCCATTCCCTATTATATTAACACACCAGAACAAAAATAGCACACACAAGCACAAGCCCCAAATAAATGTTTGCCCTTAACCTCCATTCTTGCCAGTTAAAATTGGGCTCTGCCAGTTAATCCACTGAACTCTTACAGCACAACCCTGTGCATGTCTTCTCAGAAGTCCCGCTGTTCCATGAGACTCCCAGGTAAGCATGAATCTTCCCTGTCAGTTGCTTAATCTCCCGATTAAACCTTATAGTCCCAGTGTGGTGTGAAGAACTTTGAGGCTAATCATAATTAAATAATCTACTTTTGTCACTTGCTGCAAATTGTCTTATTAATACGGGAAAGGTTTTAAAACTTCATTTGACTCTTACCTTCTCTGATTCTCTTCCCTTTTTTTTTTTTTTTTGGCCATCCCTACATATTTGAGCAGTGGAACTGGGATAGAGGGTGTTTGTTTTGCCTGTTCCTGGCCACCTTCATTTGAAGGCCTCTTCTATGACAGAGGCTTCTACCCCCATCCGTGGGGTATTCCCAAAGCCGCAGGCAACATTAAATGAGCCACATTAGTCAGTGTCAACCGCAGCGATAAGTGTGGATGCTCATCATTAAACTCTTGCTGCTAAGACTGTTAGATTTATGTGCCTAATATTAAGTACTTAGGTTTAACAGTTGTGCCTACCATGTCATTACTTACTCTGTATTTCCCTTCTGGCAGTTGTCAACATTGGGGGGGGGCCAAAAAGCTTAGTTCATAACTGGGCTGCATTTGAATGACAAACACAGGTGTAATGGAGCCCTGCGAGTGGGTGGGCATGTGTCCCGCTTTACAGAGGACAGTCCTCTATTTGAGGTCCTTTCTTTGAATAGCTATCTGGTCCAGGTCTGGTTGAAAGGTAAGGATCCATCAGCAGAGAGAGCAGAGACCTTGAAATTGCCCATCAGCTGTTACCACTTAGACAGCAGATTGAGCAGGCGAACAGGTCACCTGGGCACAGACTTAACCACTATGGTGTAATGTATTTCTGTTTAAATTATAGCAATTATTTCTAAATTTGCACCTACAGATGTAAATTAGGACATGCCAGTTTTGTGCAATTTTGTGTGCTCCTTTTTGGTGATATGTAAACGGCCACCCGCAAAATTCATCTAGGCATTATGTATGCTTAGTAACTGCTTTCTGCCCCCATGTTATTCTAAAGGTAGGGTGAATGTAGCCCCCAGATATTTTTGCTTACTGCTAAGGAATCAATTCATGTCATGGTTTCAAGGCATGCTCTCTGTTGTGTGAAAGAAAATATGGCAATTGCTTCTTGATACCACAAAGAGGACTTGTAGTATAGTTCTCATGGACAGGTTGGATGCAGAGGAATGTGGGGAGGAGCCAGCTGGGGAACAACTTCTTCATAGAGGCAAGAACTATCAGAGATGAGTTGCTGTGGTCATAAGGCCTGACACTCCTGTGCTGATCGCGTTTTTTGCTAATAGTTACCATAGATTCCGGCGTATTAGGCAACTGGGCATATTAGACGACTGCCCAAATTGGCAGCTGAAATTTGGGGGTTCGTCTTCTAAGCCCAGTCGCCTAATACGCTGGGCAGCTCCGCGCCGGGAGAAAGCCACCCGGAGCGGAGCACAGCCCGCCGCCCCTGCTGCTGCTTCCAAAGCAGCAGTGGGCGGGCTCCACACTGGGCGGCTCTCTCGCGGAGTGGAGCCGCCGCCGCCGCAGCAGTGGGGGGGGGGGAGGCTCCTCTCTGCGCCGCCCATACCCGGTGTATAAGACGACCCCCAACTTTTTAACCTCTTTTCCGGGGTTAAAAAGTCGTCTTATACGCCGGAATCTACGGTGTAATTTACTGCTGGCTCGCTCCTGACAATAATGCACATACAAGTCCACCCAACAGGATGCAGTGAGCACCATGTTTTTGGTGCAGAGTTAGTGACAACAGCATTCCTGCAAAGCCTTTCTAATCTGACTACCAAAGTCTAGCAAATTAGCCTCACAATCCTATACATGCCTTGTTGAGTTCAAGAAACCTTGGGGAAGACAAGAATTTTGGCCCAGGGTAGAGAGCATTTGACCCTCCAGATGTTGTTGGACTCTGGAGGGCCAGAGGTTCCCCATCTCTGCCCTTTGCTAACTCCAACTAGTGAAATTGTGGTCTGATTTCATTGTGGGATTGTCCTTGTGGAGGATTTTATGAACTGTTGTTGGTGCTTAATATTACATTACATTTGTATTCTGCCTTTGCTTTTCTATATAGCAATTGTGTTTGTAATGTTCCAAAGGTTATTCAATAGACCCTAAAATCCAATCAGTCAAAACACCACACTAAAGGTTAATCTAGAGTCTCATATAAACCCCAATCAAACTTTTGTGATTTTCTTATGGTTTGTTTTAGAATTGACAGAAAAAAGGATAAAACAGAAAGGAAAATTTTGGATAGTCAAGAAAGAGCCTTCTGGGATGTCCATAGGCCAGTGGTAAGTTAAATTATTTGTTGCTGCTATACACTCCGATGACATGTTCTATTTTGTTTTCACACATAGATATCACGTGAGCTTGCATGTTTTCTTTATTTCATCCTATTTCCTATAGTATGGAAGAATTGGCACAATTCTGTAGATTATTAGTTAAAGCCCCTTCAAAGCTCACTTTTTGCATCAGAGAGCATGAATCTTCCCACTGGGAAGAGTGGGGAGGCAGCAGCATTTCACCACACAAAGGAGAGCAATGCCACCGGCAACGTATGAAATTGAATTCAGTTGCAGCTAATTCGTCCTGGATTGTACCTCATAGTGGCCTTTTGAGACTTTAAAAGCAGAGATGAGGAACTTTTGGCCCTCCAGAAGTTGTTGGAACTGCAGCTCATATTGTGCCTGATCACTCATCATGCTTCCTAGGGCTGTTGAAAGTTCAGTAATATATGGAGGGCAGCAGGTTCCCTGTCCCTGCATTAGAACAGCTCCTGTTTTTAATAACGGCACTTTAAATAAAGGACAGCAAAATTTGGCTGTGTGGATCATGGTTTGAAATTACTGATTTTTAGAAAGCAGAGACAGTATGAAAATTAAACGCAGCCAGTAATCTCATAAATGTGTGTTTTTCAGCCGGGCTGCGTGAACACAACAGAGATGGACATCAGAAAGTGTCGGCGTATGAAAAATCCACAGAGGGTCAAAAAGGCAAGATTCCTCCCCCCGCCTCAAAAAAGTTAACGTTAAATTATGCCATACCTTTACAATAAGAATATCAGAGTTTCATGGGATGTTTTTGTTATATAGCAGGAGGCACATGGCCATGCCAAAGATACATACATATAAGTTGCTTTTCAGTTTCATTGAGGTAAATAAATTGTGAATACTCTGGTTTCACCTCAGATCATATAAATCTTTCGCCTTTTACTAGAGGTAGATAAATTGTGTGTACCAGTTGTGAAGAACCATACAACATAACGTGTAGACCTGATTACTGTATTTTTTGCTCTATAAGACTCACTTTTTCCCTCCTAAAAAGTAAGGGGAAATGTGTGTGCGTCTTATGGAGCGAATGCAGGCTGCACAGCTATCACAGAAGCCAGAACAGCAAGAGGGATTGCTGCTTTCACTGCACAGCGATCCCTCTTGCTGTTCTGGCTTCTGAGATTCGGAATATTTTTTTTCTTGTTTTCCTCCTCCAAAAACTAGGTGCGTCTTGTGGTCTGGTGCGTCTTATAGAGCGAAAAATCTTTTATTTATTTATCAGGTTTCTACCTTCATTGTAAGGTCCTGAGGTGGCTCAGAGCAATATAATCATGTAACTTTTTAAAAAGTAAAATAATTAAAACAGTGTATATGCAATCATAAAAACAAATAAAGCCTTTCTAGGTGAAAGCTGCATACTATAGATTAAAGAAACAGAAGAGGTTGGCACCACAAAAACACCTTAAATGACAAGTGTATGTCAAGAGGTGTGTTTTCAGGATATGACAAAAGCTGTGCAAGACGCACCTCTGTGTGGAGAAAGTTCCACAATTCAGGGGATGCCTAAATTTAGAAAAGTCACTCTCAGGCTGCCATTCCTTGCACTTCTGAGGATGGTGGAATGTTAACACCCAAGAGAGTCGGTAGGGATGGAAGTGGTCTTTCAGATATTTGGGCCTAAGCTGTTTATGGCTTAGCATTATATATAGGGCTGCTGATGTATATGGTACTTTACAGCGTAAGACAACCTCCCCCAATATGTTGGCCTCTATTTCTTTTTGACTATCCACCCCATTAGCCCCAGCCAATGTAGCCAATGGTCAGAGATGATGGGAGTTGTAGTCAGAAGCACCTGAGATTTAATAAGGCTGAAATAACATAATAATTAGGGGGAGAAAGGATAGGGCCATACTCAGATATTTACTGTCTAAATTTTTACAAATAGAAATGACCACCAATGGATGGTAGGGGAGGGGAGGAAGGAAAGGGAGGGAGGTATAATTGTCCTAAAACACAGTAACAACTCTAGTGCTTAAAATCATAATCCGTTGTTGTTGTTGTTGTTATTTTGCTTACCATACTGTTTCTCACCTGTTCATTGCAGTCAGTATATGGAGTTACAGAAGACAGTCAGTCCCAAAGTCCTGTACATATGCCCTCCCAACCAGCTCGGAAAACAACAAAAGATGATGTCCGGAAGCAAGTAAGGAATCTTCTCTGTGACTTCTCATGTTCCTTTTGGAGATATTCCACCCTTTTTCTCTTTCCATGTTACTATAAATAGGACAGAATATTGAGTAAATATGAAATTGGAAACTTGCCTCTCCCTCAAAAGAAAACACATGTGCTTAGAGTATGTCATAATCTGCCAATTTTTAAAGTTATAATTATATCTCTTGTACAGTTGTAGTTTGCTGTAAGCTACCAGGGATCCCCTGATGCTAAACACATTTCTTTGAAAGCAAGTCAGTTTATTTCACAGACACTTGCATTCCTATAATCAACTTGTTCCTTCTTGGACCATTGCACTTCTCCATTCATGTCATGTATGGCCATTGACAATTCAGCAAATGGGGAAGTCTGGGTTCACAAGGTCCTCCAAATGCTCACCAGAATAGTCAGGAAGGTTTGGGTTGGGAGTCAGCATCTTTAAGTATATTACAGTGTAAGTCATTTGAAGCATTAAGAGGTATTTTATTTCCCTTCTGCCAGATAACATTTCTGAACGTGCAGATAGACAGACACTGTTTAAAAATGTCTAAAGTAGCAGAAAGGTAAGACTTCCCATTTACATATGTTATAATTGTTGTTGTAATGGTTCTCTGCTATCTGTTCTGTTTCCCCTCTCAATAATAATAATAATAATAATAATAATAATAATAATAATAATAATAATAATAATTATCATCTATTATTTATACCCCAGCCACTCTGGGTGGCTTCCAACAGAATATTAAAATACAATAGTCTACTAAACATTAAAAGCTTCCCTAAACAGGGCTGCCTTCAGATGTCTTCTAAAACTCTGGTAGTTGTTTTTCTCTTTGACATCTGACGGGAGGGCAGGCGCCACTACCGAGAAGGCCCTCTGTCTGGTTCCCTGTAACTTGGCTTCTCACAGTGAGGGAACCGCCAGAAGGCCCTTGGCACTGGACCTCAGAACAATTGGGGGTGGAGATGCTCCTTCAGGTATACTGGGCTGAGGCTGTTTAGGGCTTTAAAGGTCAGCACCAACACTTTGAATTGTGCTCAGAAACGTATCAAATGATTCAAGACTAATTTCGTATCCAGGAATGAGCACCTGAGCTGGCATTTCTCCCTTGACTGCTGCCCTCCTTTGCTCCTGTTGTATGCCTACTTTGGCATGAAGATCCTGATTTGTATTGAGTCAGAGCCCCCCGTTACATCCAAACCAGCAAACTCTGGTTTAATGTGGATTAACAGTAAGCCCCGGTGCCCATCTATCCTACGTGGGGGTGTAGAAAAGCCACTAAGAGAAGCCGCTCATGAAGTAGCAATTGCTGGCAGGGGCGGTGGAAGGAGGTGGTGGGGGTGGACCGCCCTGGGCACACTCACTGAAGGAGTGACATTTGGCACACCGTGTGCCAGCGACTCCCAAGCCCTATCCTGAGCCATCGGGGTAAGGGGGGGGGGACTACACCGCTTTGCCGGCAGCATTCTCCCCTTCCTCCTTCATTTTGACAGCTTGGAGGAGGCTTGGGAGTTGCGGGCAGGTGGTGCACTGAATGTTCACCATGGGCAGCTCGCTCCGCCCCCAGCTGCAGGGCGCGCACACTGCTATGAGCACCCAAGTGGCTATCCTGTGCCTGGGAGGGCACCCTCCGCACCGCGCCCCACCCCTTGGGAGTGTGCCACGCCCCCCTCTGGAGGGGCATATGCTCCACCAATGTTTGCTGGCACTGTACAGGATCACACCCTCCCACTTAACAGCTGTGTGACTCTGTTAAGCAGAGACATTGACCCTGCAGGAAGGAGAACTGCATCATGGGGTGTACCTTCTCCTGAGAATTAAGTAAGTAAGTAAATAAATATTACATTTAAACTAACTAAATTTCCCCCCAGTTTATTACTTGATGAAATTTATGCCCTGCTCTTCCTCCCAAGGGAGCCCAGGATGACTCTGGTTACTTTAAAATAAGTGGCAGCTTCCAATCTCCTCTTTTCGACTGGGGGGCGGGGGGACATGTGAGCACAAGGCATTTATTTAAAGCATCATTTAGTGTTACATGTCAGAGGCTCACAAGAGTGAATTAGGATGAAGTAGTTTTAAAGCCAACCCAAACAAGATCCTTTGACCTTAAAGTTGGATAAAATGCTGAGCTCAGCATGGCCAGACTTGTTGATTATGATGGAATTGTTGTTGTGCGGTAGCCTTTCAGACTGAACCCACAGTTTAATAGCTTATTGTTTCCGCCGGGAATGTGGCAGATTAGCAGATCATAACGCATGAGGGCTTCTTTTCTCTTTATCTGTGCAGCATTAATTCCCAAGACTATTTTCCCTCCTAGAAGTCTCCAAACAAATTTTGCACTAGCAGTAAAGGAGACTTTGGCTAGAAGGAGACAAAGAAGAGCACATTGCAGTGTCAGCAAATCAGAATACTGCCCTAGTTGCACAATTTATGAGTGTGTGTGTGCCCTGAATTCCAGTAGCTATTAGGGATTGGGATGCAAAATGCCATTTTAAACAGCTTTTCTGTTGGTCTTCCAGAGGCCACGAGTATCGTAAAAAACACGTATAGAATCACAAAATTTAGAACCGCAGATATACAGCAAAAAAAAAGTGAGGAAGCCGAAAGATAAACAGCACTCCTGTTCAGTGCAGAAAGAGATTCTGTATCATTCAGCAGGGTTGGCGAGCATCAGAGGAAGTTTTTCACCGGGGAGAAGGAAGAAATTCCTTGTGCAGTCGCAGAGAAAGTAGATGGTGACTTTCCCAGACTTGCATGCTCCTAGATCTGCCATGTAGCATTGCACCAACACTGAGGAAAGTGCCTGCAATGTTCAGCTGCAGAACATGCCTGAAATATTCAGTGGATCCAGTTTTCCTTCCTTCCTTTCATCCCTTACTTTTCATGTCTCTGCAAAACCAAGACTGACTTTACAATTTGCCCGGTGTGATTCACAGCCACTCGGTAATAGGCTCATCAAATTCCATGAAATGGCTCTGAAGTAAACAGCTTGAACTGCAACCCACATTATTTTTAACTCCTTGTGGTGCTCGCCGTTTCATTGAAAACATTTGAATTTCAGAAACTATAGTCCCCAATTGATTTTTTTTTTAAAAAAGAAATCTCCCCCCCCCCCAAATGCTTCAGTTACTGTGAAAATTGAGGCTTTTCCTTCCTCTAGCTACTGATCCATGTTGGTCATGAAACGTTATTAATGAAATAAGATAAGACAGGGAGGGACTAAGGACCCCAAGGCTTTATTGGTAGGACCTGCATTTTGTTACGAAATGGTGTGATTGTAATGCCTTGTGAAATAACAACAACCTTCCTGTGACAGGCTGAAGGGAAAAAGAGCTCCACACCTCCAGCCCCACCATTTCTCATTAACACACACACACACACACACACGCAAGTGATATAGCCTGGGTAAGAAGAATTAAAGTGAACAATTGGCCAGTGTTTGGAACCTAGACTAATTTCCCTAGCGACAGTTTGATTCTTGCTTCTTATTCTTAGCTACAGTCCGTGCACAGTCTTAACAGTAAACATACGCGTTTTAGTAAATGCTGGCGTTCACATGTGGGTGCTACAAACGGGGCGGGGGGGGCGGTCTGCATGGGGTGTCACCACTGAGAGGGGTGACAAAATGCTGGGTGGCACTCACGTGGGGCCTGCAGCATGCCCAAGCCACGCGTCTCTCCTGGAAGTGACGCAGTGGCTTGGGCGCCCGCAGGCTCCGCACTGCCCCAAACAGTCCGGCTGCTGCCTCCCCCTCAGCTGTAGGGTGGCTGAGTGGGAGGAGGCAGGCAGACTCCTTGGAGGTCCTGTGGAGCACCCTGCCACAGTTGGCCCCACCCCACGGGTGGCTGGCTCCGCCCCTGGGCACAGGGTACACACGCTGCCCCAGGCACCCAATAGCTTTGCTCCGCCACTGGCTGCAAATCCCAGCTATGTGCCCATCAACATTCGCCCGAGCAATAATCTGGCAAAAAATGTTGACTTGCCTTACGGAGACCAAATGAAAACAATACAACTACTCAAAGTATGCATGGTGAATGGAGCATTTGTGGGGGGGAACTAAAATGATGTATCTTGTTGATGCAATTATTATATTAAGCGGGACACTAGAAACCAGTGCGCACAAGTCTACAAAACTTAAGTGTTTAACCTTCCCCATTGACATCTATTGGACAAAGCACCAGTTAATTTTCTGTTGAAATCAATGCTTAGCTCTGTCCAATAGAAGTTAATGGGGGCTTGCTTTTGTCCGGCTGTACTATATCTAGTTAGCTACTTTGTTTTTGATCAAAAACAATCATCTGCCTAACCCAGGGGTCAGCAAACCTTTTCAGCTGGGGGACAGTCCACTGTCCCTCAGACCTTGTGGGGGGCCGAACTATATTTTTTGGGAGAGAAATGCATTTTAAATAAAAGGACACATTCTACTCATGTAAAAACACGCTGATTTCTGGACAATCCGTGGGCTGGATTTAGAAGGCGATTGGGCCAGATTTGGCCTCCAGGCCTTAGTTTGGCTACCCATGGCCTAACCACTTCTTTTTTTTTAAGGAATGGAAACAAAAGTTACATTCCTGTGAACTTAGATAATACAAGGTAGCATTGTTTGTTTTGTAACACCTACTGGAAGACAAACACTTTGGCATAGACTATGTATCCTATAGGAACAAGCCTTTTTACTGACACTTGTGCAGTGCATGGGCAAAAAATGAATACTTTTCAGATTAATATACTTTTTAAAAATAGCAATATATGTAATATTTAATGAAGTTATATACGCACAGCTTTCATCTCTGTATATTTTCTTTTCTTTTCTCTTGTTACAGTTTAATTACTTATTCAGATCAGTACATTGACTATGACCCTTTTATAACTCCTGCTGAACCTTCTAATCCCTGGATAAATGATGACGCTGTATTTTGGGACTTAGAAACAAGGTGAGATATTAATATTTTTCACACTTCTTAACTATTATTAATTTCTATACAGCTTTATATTTTTAAGGGGGGGATCTCAAAGCTGTTTACAACCTATATTCATATTTTTGAAAGTGAAACTTTCAAAAATAAAACATTGCTGAGCTCTTTTGGCTGCACAGTTTGCATTATCTTTATGTGAAGGATTGACACCTGCCTATAACAGAGGGAGAGGTGAGATGGCAAGACCTTGCAGAGAACAGCTGCTGGCTTGCTCCTCTCTTCCCAGAACTGACTCCCAAAATCCTAATAGTCATTGTAACAATTATTATTATGTATATAGCACTATCTATGAACAGGATGGTTTATTTACAAAGGAGGGTCCCTGCCCAGTTATCTAACATTATCTACATTTGCTTCTCCTCCTCCTTATAGATTCCTTTGTCCCTTATTGTATCCCATCTGTTACATTGGATGTCATTATTTGAATTTAAAATAAGGGTAGTTAACTTTTCTGTCTCAGGCTGCATACAAGCCCAGAAGAGGGATTTTGTGCGCTCCCTCAAACTTGTCATTAAATATATCATTAATTTCTTATTTTCTGAGATAAGAAATTTATTAGAGTAAGAGACCCTTCTGAGGAAAAGAATACGGCTGCATACTTATCACTCTCAGATTCTCCTTTCAATACATAAAACAGATACTGAATAGGAAATTATGCCCCCTCCCTCCCCAGAAAATCATAACTCACCCCAAATATTGCAGGTTGACATTTTCCTCTCTTGGGCTACAGAGTCGATTTCTTCAAATTATAAGCAAGTGTTTCTCTCTGATATCAGCTTTGTATCCACAAGCAGAGAACTACCTAGCTTATCTTTTTCTGACATTTTGACAAGGTAACAAATCATCTGTTTTCATACATACAGATTTCTCTACTCTTTGAAGTCAAAAGGGTGTGTGTGTCCCCCTTTAATTTAAATTATCACTACAGGCTCACTAATGAGCGTTTTGAATTAAGCTGTCACAGAGAAATATACGTTGGGAGACTCAGAAAAAAACACCCTGGCTGATCCTTATCTTTGTATCCTTTGAATAGCAAGGAGCCTTCTCAGCACCGGGTCAAAAGATGGGGCTTCTCTATAGATGAGGTGTTGAAAGATCCCGTTGGGCGTGACCAGTTTCTTCGGTTTCTGGAATCGGAATTCAGTTCTGAAAACCTCAGGTAAAGACCCTTCAGATACTCTAAAGATTTAGTGCTCCAAAGGTTGCAGTACTTGCTCTGCAGAAAAGTTCACTGATGTCAAGAGCAAGGAATGTGGGAATTGGACTCCTGTATGGAATGCTATAAATTAGCATGACAGCAGTGCTAGTCTGTATCTAAAAGGTACCCTTAAGGTACCACTAAGGAATTTGCCAAAATCTTTGTTAAAAGGCATGCTGGTTGGATTTTGACAGAAATCTACAATTCCCTCTAGAAGAAGGTTAATTTTCCATATATGTTGGACTAAAATTAGTTATGATGCAAGGCAAAAGCTAAACGTGAGCGATCCCTGTCACCCTGTTATCATCATAACAAACACAAGCTGCAGTGACAGCTCAGTGTCAGTCTGTCAGTCATTCATTTGCTTAGCATTACATGCAAACTCACATGCCTCATCGTTTTCAAAAGGGGCAGGAACAATCTGTGGACAGAGATCTGAGACCCCATCTAGTGTTTAACAGACAGCTTTGTTAGTAGATTCCGATAATACATTTATATGCTTGTGTCAAACGGGGTCAGATTTTGAATCAGTGTTACTGAGTGAGCTAATTCACAAAGAGAACAGAACAGGCCTTATTACTAAGCAATGTTTTCTGGGACGTCACATAAGGCCACTGAAGTATAGCTTTGCTTTATTTATTGATAAAGGATGTGGCAGCACCTTGAGAACACTGTTCTGTGACCGCTCCTGCAGCTACAGCTAAAGACTAGTTTCAGAACCGCTACATTAGATGCTCATAGTTCTGCAACAGATATCTTGGCGAATGCCCACACATATATCCAGGGCAGGAAGAAGAAAGGAATAACTGATATAGGGATGGGCTAGTTAATAGCCAAAGGATCTCTGTGGCGCTTGAAGAATGCAGTACTTATTTCACTGAGCCTACAACTGAATGTTCAGTATAGATGGATGAGACACAGCATGTTGTGTACTGGTTAGAGTCTTGAACTACAGTGGTACCTTGGGTTAAGTACTTAATTCGTTCCAGAGGTCCATTCTTAACCTGAAGCACCACTTTAGCTAATGGAGCCTCCCACTGCTGCCACGCCACCGGAGCACGATTTCTGTTCTCATCCTGAAGCAAAATTCTTAACCTGAAGCACTATTTCTGGGTTAGCGGAGTCTGTAACCTGAAGCGTATGTAACCTGAGGTACCACTGTACTAGGACCAGGGAAACACAAGTTCAACCCCCACTTGCCTATGGCACCTTTGGACCATTCAGTCACTATCACTTTTCCTAACCTACCTCACAGAGTTGTTGTGTGGAGAGATGGGGAAGAGGTGTGCTGATGTGAGCTCCTTAGAGGAAACTGCAGAATATAAATGCAGATGGTGGTGATGATACCGGAATAGTGAAGGGATAGTCCAATCACAGGGGAGGGGGCAATTGTGGAGTGCAGTTGTGGCTGATGAAGGAAGACCTCATCAAAATGCAACAGCCCCTAGGACCAGATGGGCTGCGGAAGGAGAGGCTGCTAGTTCTGGGAGTTCCAGGATCCTGTGGGAGGGAGAAGCTATTTCAGTATTTTGCCTATGGCGACAAAATGCCTAAAGCCAGCCCCGAGGGGGAGTTTCACCAGCTGTCTCCAGATTTTTCCTGTCAGAGTTTTTTGTGTATTCGAACCAGCTGGAGAAATCTCCAACGTCACAATTGGAACTCTCTTTCTCTCTTTATATTAACCTAAGAGTAAGGTAATTCCTGAACCTTGAAAGCAAACATGTATGAATGCTGAGAAAAGGGACATTTGTGAAGTACCTAAAGACCTTAAGGGTAGTTATTAAAAAAAGAGGATTCACAAACACAAAAATAATGGAAGACAAGCAATTGGGCGGGGGGGGGGCTTTGTTAGGTTTACTAAATTCCCTTAATTTCAGATACTTTTTTATTTCCTTGTTTATTCCAGTGGGTAGCCATTTCCTCAGAACAGCACAGTGTTGTGAAAACAACAAATGCCACTCCTGTGAACACATCAATATTATCCTTACCTGATACACAGGATGCAGATTTAGCTGCACCTTCCTCTCCCTCCTCTCAGTGTGCTTAGGGCAAGGAGGAAGGACCAAAGCTCAGTGGTGGAGCACCTGCCTTGCTTGCAGAAGGTCTCTGGTTCAATTCCTGGCATCTCCAGGTAGGGATAAGAAAAGCACAGGACACACAGGCCTACTGAGACCAGGTTCCCAGAGAGGAGCTCCCAGCCGCTTTGCCCCTTTTTGCAGCTGTGTAAGACAAGGTTTGGCTTGGTGTGCATCCAGCCTGGGGCTCCTAGTTCTGCTCTCGCCTCACTAACCCTCAGCTGTAGCCAGTGTTTGACCTCGACTCATTGTCTCTGTACCTACTGCCTTTGACAGCCTTGGACTAAAATGCCTGTCAGCTGCCGCCATGTGCATAGACACCTCAGCTGGCAGTAGAAATGGTTAGTTGTGAGGCAAGGCAAAAGCTAAACGTGAGCGATCCCTGTCACCATGTTTATCATCGTAACCAACACAAGCTGCAGTGACAGCTCAGTGTCAATCCGTCAGTCATTCATTTGCTTAACGTGAAGGTTCAGCACAAAACTGGAAAAGATCCAATTGCCAAGACAAGAAATCAGCAAAAGTGATTAAACAATATACACTATGTATATGCTTAAAAGTATGCCTTTACCCACCTGGTGTCCTCTAGATGTTTTGAACTACAACTCCCATCAGCCCTAGCAAGTGGGAGGTACCAAATCTGGAAGGTACCAGGTTGGTGACCTTATATGAAATTACTTCCAACATGATAACAGGAAAAGACACTACTGCAAGCATATATGTGCCTATAAAGAAGTGAACAACAGCAACAAAACACATTTTCTTGACAGTGAAAGACGGGTACTAATCAGACTCCTAAGGCATCTTGTCCTAAGAGATGGTACAAAAGGTAATGATTACTGTCTCTGTGTGACCTTTTAAACTGTAGTACAAAGAACATGAGGCCGAAATTCCAAGGAGCTGAAATAACTTTGCTGTTTGTTGACATCAGCGTCTGTAGTTTCTTAGCCACTAGAGGGTGCAGATGCTCTACAGGTACTAGTTTCTGCTAAATTCAGGTGGAAGATCTCTGACATCGTGTGGATACGAAAAGGAGTACTATATTTCATAGGCCTAGAGAAGAACCCGAAGCCTGACTGATTGTAGAACTGTTGCTACTCACCAGTGTTCACAAGTTATACTGGAAATCCTGTAGAACTGAAAATTATACATGGAAAGCTTGCCACACACCTCAGAATTGAGATGTAAATGTGAAGCATGTTCTATTTTCCTCTTTTAGGGGATATCATAGATGCAGTGTCCTGAGCCACACTATGTGAACAGGGTCCCAATAACAACCCAATTATAGCCCACCTAATACCTTGAGATCTCAATGTTTTTGTTTTCTACACCCAACATAAGAAAATGCTCCTAGTCTCAGGAGCTGGACAATCTATTCTGGATGAATCATACATGCTTTCATGACGCCTGCAAGTGTCTGAAGCTTTGGCACTGTAAGCCCATCTGAGAAGCAAATCCAAGCTGCACTGAGCTCAGAGAATTGAAGAACAGGTGTCACAAATAAATACTTTTCACACCAGTATCCTTTAACACACAGCAGGTCCTGATCAGAGCAAGTATGATTCATTATATTTCCCAGTATTTGGGGGGGGGGAATGAGTTCTTTTGCAAGGCTGTGGTTTTGATTTTTTATAAGGCTCAATTAATATGAGCCTTATAAACATAGTAATTTGGGTGCCTGGTAGCTTAAACGAGATCTGAGAAGGGCAACGAACGCAAACAGCAGAATCCTTGGCATATCTTCTCAGAATTAAGCCCCACTTAATACATACATTTTATTTGTATGCTGCCTTTCCATGGTTCAACCCATGCTCAAGGTGGCTCAAAACATGAGCATATATATGTGGGAATCACTAATGACAGCTATCACTTCACTGGAAAAAAAGACAGCTTTTGGATTGCCCTTATCACTTTTCATTCAAATAGATTTGGTATATATAAATGTTTCTTTTGATGAGCATGCTTTCAAGAACAACTATTACCTTACTATGAAGAAATGGAGAATATTCTCCCTTCCGGATGGTATAAATTGCATTACATGGTTATCTTTAGCAGACACTAGACAGTGATTATATAAGAAGGGGACATTATGTGGAACATATTTCTGCCACATCCTGGTGGGTTTTGAATACTATTCTCACAAGTAGCTCCTCTGACTTCCCATGATTTGAATGTCTTTGTGAAGACTACAGAATTAGACTCTTTGGCTAGAAAGGGTGCAATCTACCGAAATGCAGTCCCTCATTGGATGTACGTTAAAATAAACAGTAAATATACCCTGGGTGGGTAGATTCTTCCTAAGAGGCAGAAGGCAAAGCACATCCTCGATTTCTTCTGCACAGATCCTTGCTGGTAACAGCTAGTATGGAATTTGACTAGCAGTAACTTAATTTGTGGTTGTGGTTAATATTAAAACTCAAAACCCACCTTTCCTTCTTTTCCCCCAAATACTCACAGTGGCATTTGTCATTTCTAAATGTGTTTCTTTCTTATGGCTGTTTATTCCAGGTCTGCGTCCTCTTTGTCTGTTGTCGTCGGTTTACGTTCTATTCTGCCTGCCCACTGCCACAACTGTGTGCTGTCTGTAAAGAGAATGTAGCGAGGAATCCCTTTCCTCTGGCTAGGCAGAAACCTTTCTCCTCAGGCTGTCTTTTAAGTGTGGGGGCAGCCATTGTAGCAGCAGAATAGCTTTGTCCTATTTGCTGGGGGGCTTTCCATGCCTGACATTGCCTTGGACCGTCACCATGTCCGCTCCTTATCCCATAAAATGGAGGTCCATTTTAGAACCCTCCTTTCTTATGCAGGTTTGCGGATTGCATTGCATACTAGTCCCGCATTTCAGTATACAGAGGAGATCATGTAGTAATTTAGGCTGGGTTAGGTGTTTTCTTATAGGATTACAAGCGCTCAAAATGGGTCTGTGTAAACTGTGGCTCCCAAGGACGGGTTGCACCACAGCTGATCATTAAAGTGTTCCATATCTCGAATGGCTTATCCTCCTTCCTCTTTCTCTTTGGTTGCCATGGCTATGGGGGAGGAGGACCGGAATGGACGGTCAATCAAACTGCAGGCGGTTTTGAAAGGCAACTGTGGAACAGCCCACCAGATCCTGTCACACAGATGGCTTTAATACTTCTTGCAGGGTGGAGAGATTGTTAAGAACAGGAAATGGCAGAATACAGCTGCCTTTTGGGGGGCAGGGGGAGGTACGAAAAGAGAAAACTTCACAAAGCTCAAGCCAAATGAATGGAAAATGTCTTTTTTCCAGCACTGGCAACATGGCTGAGGTTTGTGATTAAAGAGAAGAGGGCAATCTTTACTGTCTTAAGTGGTGGAGAAGGAGAGAGGCACAATGGACATGCTTGTTTGCATTTATATCCCACTTTCCTTCCATCACAGAAAATACATGTAGTCACCCATCCAGCACAGAGCAAGGCACACACACCTGAGCTTCAGCAAAGCAACGACCTCGTGACCTTTTAACACCATGCATTTCTCAAGCTGCTCATAAAGGGTTTACCTCCAAAGTACATGCAGCACAGACGCCTTTGGAGATTTATTTATTTTGGGGGTCACACATATTTAATCATCATTTGGTGACTTGCACATTGAATGAGCTGTTACAGATCGAATACTCAAGATTGCATTTCCGTATCACCTGACACATAATGTTTTTACATGATGAAATTTCAGCTGCCAGTGGTGAGAAACCATAGTAGACAACCGAGCCAGCCCCTCTTGTACCACCTACAAGAAAAAAAGCAAAATGGTGACAGAGCATGTGATTTGCACGCAGAGGCTCCCAGCTCCAGTCTTGGGCGTCCTCAGTTAGAAAGATCAGGTAGCAGGTTCTGGGATTGCCCTTTAAAACCCTGAAGACTTGCTCCTTATACAATTGCTTGCCCTGACAGTTCTTGTCTAGGGTTGCCCAAATTGGATGGAAGTTGCAGTTATTGTGAATGGCCACTGGGTGTCATTATCACTTTGTGCAGATTCCTGACAAAGCACTTTCTTGGCAGTAGGAAAAAGAGGTTTATTTCTACAGTTACTTTTAAGGGGCACGGGGGGGGGGATATTTTTGTTACGCATGTGTAGGCAACATCCACCCCACACCAGTGTGAACACATCCAGTTGCATCGATATGTCATGTTAAGCATTGATAAAATGTAAATGCCTCATTTGAGTTTCCTCTGGTGTGTTATCAGCTCCAGATGATTATATTGATCCTGTTGGACAAGCATATGAGCACATCATAAGCAGTAAGCAACTCAGGCACGCAGTGTAAAACAGCAAATTGTGTATGGCAGATGTACATGTACAAATTATTTGTTTGTTTGTTTCTTAGATTTTATACCCTGCTTGATTGTAAAAAAAAAAAGGCGGTTTACAAAAGATAAAACAGTAAAATCAAGAAAAAAATCATAACCCTACTTTAAAACATACAAAAGATAAAATACTAAAACAGATTAAAATTACCTTGGCATTCTAGGCATCTGTGCAGACTTTTCTAAACAAGCATGTTTTTAGCAAGTGCCAAAAAGAGTACAGTGGTACCTCAGGTTACATACGCTTCAGGTTACAGACTCCGCTAACCCAGAAATAGTGCTTCAGGTTAAGAACTTTGCTTCAGGATGAGAACAGAATTCGGGCTCCGGCGGCGCGGCAGCAGCAGGAGGCCCCATTAGCTAAAGTGGTGCTTCAGGTTAAGAACAGTTTCAGGTTAAGTACAGACCTCCGGAACGAATTAAGTACTTAACCTGAGGTACCACTGTACAGTGAAGGCGCCTGCTTGAACCCAATAGGCAGGGAGTTCCAAAGTCTGAGGTACTGCCACACTAAATGATCAAGTTCTCCGTTCAGTATAATGGAAGGAGCGTCTCCACCCCCATTGTTCAGCCTGGACACTGAGGTCCTCCTCCAAGGGTCTTCTGGCAGTTCCCTCGCTGCGAGAAGCGAAGTTACAGGGAACCAGGCAGAGGGCCTTCTCAGCAGTGGTGCTCTCCCTGTGGAACACCCTCTCTGCAGATGTCAAGGATAATTTTTAGAAGACATCTGAAGGCAGACCTGTATCAGGAAGTTTTTAATGTTTGGCATTTTACTATGTTTTTATATGTGCTGTAAGCTGCCCAGAGTGGCTGGGGACACGCAGCCAGATTGGCAGGGTATAAATGATAAAATTATTGTTGTTATTATTAAATGCAGAATGGGTATTAGGTGGCACCTGTAGTAGTGCCAATTCTGCCGATCAAAGTGGTTGACAGGACACCTATTGGGTAAGGCCATCTTATAGGTAAACTGGTCCCAAGTTGTTAAGGGCTTTACATATCAATAGTAACACCTTGAACTTGGGCCAGTCTCAGACTGGCAAGCAGTGCAGATCTCTGAGCATGGGTGTTATATGCTGGCAACCCTGCAACCGTGCTGCAGCATTCTGCACTAACTGCAGCCTCTGGATGAAGCACAAGGAAAGCCCCTCATAGAGCACATTGCAGAATTTATCTTGAATAAAGGCAATTTCACAGATGAAGATTTTTATAAAAGAAATCCACTGTGTTTTCTATCAGTTCTTCACATGAATGTAAACTCCACATTGGATTTAATGCACATTCCATCTCAATTTATCACCTACCTTAACAGCATTTCCATATTGACTCAAACCACAATAGACTCAAATGCACCACAAATGCGACCACTTTCCTAGTGGTTAGACCTATCACATTTTGGTTCTTGCAAAGTTTGTTTTACGAGCCACTGGATTAGTGTTACTGAGTTGTGTTTAACATAATTTGAATATTGGCTGCATAACATGTCAGCTTCTGTTCTATAAATGAATTTTCTTATTTTCTTTAATGTAAAATTCAGTGGAGCTAGGACTGGGATTAGCCAGTGCCATGGTAGCTCAGGTTGAAGCACATCTCTGAAACGAATTTCCCCTGTCTTTTCCCTTGATACAGGTTTTGGTTGGCTGTCCAAGACCTGAAAAAACAACCATTGCAAGATGTAGCTACCAGAGTGGAAGATATCTGGCAAGAGTTCCTCGCTCCTGGGGCCCAGAGTGCCATCAACCTGGACTCTCACAGCTATGAGATAACAAGCCAAAATGTCAAAGACCCAGGGAGGTACACATATGAAGATGCACAGGTTCGGACTTGGGTGTCATTCCTAATAGTGCACTAGAACAGAGGAGGGGATGTAACTTTTTAATTTCAGGTTGGGCAAGAATTGTGTCAGTAAAATGTACTTGTGTTTAGCCAGTTAATATATACAATGAGGACTACGGGCAAAAATACAAGAGCTGGATAAGCCAATTCACACTAGAAATGTATTCTCAAAAAGGAACTAATTGGATAAGCTCCCAAACCTAGCTCATTCCACAAATTCCATGGGACTTTTGTTGAATTTGCTCTTTCTACCAGAAGGTTAGAGTGTGTTGCTGATAATACCAAGGTTGCAGATTTAATCCCTATATGGGACAGCGGCATAGGGGGTTGGTCTAGATGATTCTCAGGGTCCCTTTCCAGCTCTGGGATTCTATGATATACCCCCTCCCCAAACCTGGCACCACACTTCTCTATGTCTCATTAATGCTTGAAAAGGTTTGAAGCAGGAACTGAGAGATAGTTCTCCTTTAGCATGAGATAACAGTGCAAACACATTATAATGACATATCACGTTTTCTGGGGGCTGAGCCTTGGCACTGAAAACAAATTTCAGGGGTGAGACCTGGCACACCCTGGCTCAAATTAAGCAGCGAGTTCCCACAGGAGTTCACAGACATCGCATTCCTGTGCAATAAGCCAGACATAATTAGGTAAAAGAAAACAGTGATGTGGTAGGGAGGATATGAGGGTATTCTATTAAAAAACTGTGCAAGATGGGAAAGAGAACAAACAATGGGAACATCCTTGGGTTGGCTGGGGGAGGAAAAGGTTTCGCTATGCAGTACTTATCTTTTAAAACTGAGCCCTCCCGTAAATTGAACAAGTTATCTTAAGCCCTAGAATGTGTAGAATCTGCATCCAAGGGAAGATCAAATGGTTCTTGCCTGCTTCATATCAGCTCATTGAACATCATGCTTGCATAGGAGGCAACGCACAATAATTGCTCCATGCACCCAGATTTGCTGGCTATCAATGGCTGGACAGAGCCTATGCATCCTGGGATCTACCAGAGTGGGCCCCTGTTGCAGAGTGTCTAGCACATGGAGAGAAGGGCCCTATTTGCTTGCTATGGCTCTTCTCCATGCGTAGAATAAATATGTGCGTGGTAGGCAGCAGCTGGCGCTACCTACTGCCATTTGCACCATGAAAAGCCCATCACCACACTCTGCACAGAACTGATGGCAGGGCTCCATGCAGCGAGGAATTCCGAATCCTTTTGGGGTATGCTTGTGCGTGGGCCCATGTAGCAGCAGGAGTGGGAATCTGCTGCCACCTCTCATAAGTGCATTCATTCTACATGTGGAGAAGAGCACAAATGAGTGAACAGGGCTCAGAGGTATGCCCTGGAAGGAGATGGGGTTAGTGAGTGCCACGCCCCTCCTTCACTGCAGGTAGGCTCTGCATGCATCCACATAAGGCTTTAGTCCTTAGCTGAATTTAAGGAAGTCTCAGTTACTTGAACTATATTGTCCTACGGAGATTATTTATAGGAGCTAAATTCTGATCGCTGTTAATCTTGCTTCTCATATTCACGCACACCTACCATATAAAGAGTTACCATTTTTGCCAAGCATGTGCAGAAGGCAGCAAGTCCAGTGGGATGAGTTTCAGAGATGATGCCCATCACTGAAAAATAAACAAATGCCAATAATGCCTATTTGATTAGCAGCATGCCAAAATGTAACTGGTGTGGCTGGATCAGAAGTGGGAAGCAGCCAGGCATATATCTAAGGGAAAGAGAGAAGAGCTGTTGCTTTAGAAGGCAATGGTGCCTGGAAAAAAGACATAGCAGCCCAGATTGTTTTTCTATACAGGAAATGAAAAAGGATTTCCCCCAAATGAGTAAGAGCATAATGGTAAACGCATCGTTCAACATGTTGATCTGCACTGTGTTTCAGAGGCAATGCACTGTGGCTTTGCAGCATACGATGTATCTCCATAGTGGGCTTTAAAACAGCATTTGCCAATCGTTACAAGTCCCCCCACCCTGATAACACAGGCATACGGCAAGCCCAGATGGTAGTTCTGTTCTGAGAATTACCCCACAGCCAAAGCCTACACCCGCAATGTGGTTTTGCCCTGCCTTTCAAGGGATACAGATCCGTATCCATTATACTCCTCTGCATATGTTTTTCACTTCTAATTCCCCATAGACGTGACCAAATATATCATAGTGCTGACACTTGCTGGAATGTGGCCTACAGTGCTGACAAGTTATTGTTGTAATGTAGAATGTTTGCTATTGTAGGCTGTTTGAATAAAGCCACATCCTGTCCCTCTACTCCCACTCGAGTGCCAAAAAAACCCCAAACTGCAAGAAAAATCACCATATTTCCCCTGCAAATATTTCAGCTTGTGGGCAACATGCTCTTCACAGAGGAATACATGGGGAGGATAAGGATGTTGTGGTTTCTTGGCTACTGATAAGATTACTGAGTCACAATTTAAAATAGAGACAGGACAGACATTATACAGCTGGGGACCCTGCAAAGAATCTGTACCCTTCTGTTGGGCTTTTGTGTAGGTGAACATTTTGAAACCTACAGCCCTTCAAGTGTTTTGGAGCCTGACTGTGGGCTATTCTGGCTGGGGCGGATGGATTTGGGAGTCCAAAACATCGGGGGGGGGGGACCAGATTGGGTAAAGCTGGTGTGAACTAGCCTGCTTCATTCCCGCCAACATTTCATAGGTGAATCTTTGTGGAACCTTTGTTTTTTACTCCCAAGGAAAATGGGGTTGCCGCTACACTGACACAAAGGATTCATTGACTGATCAGCTCTCACCACCCCACTTTACAATTACACATTTTCCTTCTCAATGTAGGGGGAGATTGAATGGTATACTTGAATAACTTACACTGTTGATGATATGTACATACAATGCCACAATATATAACTGCTGAACTAAATCTCCTGCTAACAACTCGTGACTTGGATCCTGCGTTCTTGGACTCAGTGTGTACCTGGATGAGAATTCAGTGTACAGTGGTACCTCGGGTTAAGTACTTAATTCGTTCTGGAGGTCGAACCTGAAACTCCTGCTGCTGCTGCTGCTGCCGCCGCGCCGCCGGAGCACAATTTCTGTTCTCATCCTGAAGCAAAGTTCTTAACCTGAAGCACTATTTCTGGGTTAGCAGAGTCTGTAACCTGAAGCATATGTAACCCGAGGTACCACTGTATACAGTAGGAAGAATAAAGCCAGTTCTCAAAGCAGGCGCTGACTCTGACCATTTCTGGTCTTTGCATCTCTACAGGAATGGTTTTGTCAATAGCATTGCTCTTTACAATAGCTTAAAACGGTTTCCCCTCCCTTCTGTCTGACGAAAGGTTCAGTGTCACCTGGAAAGATGCACACTTTGGCTGCATCAGAAATTGACCCAGGAAAAAATGCCACATAGTTCCAATTTTATGTTCTTTGGTATCTTGTATTGCAGCCGCAGGCTGCATTGCCGCTGAAGGGACAATATTGTCCAAGCCTAGGCGCTGACACTCATAAACTATCTAGAAACAGAAAATGAACTCGTGGTCCTTTTTTCTTCTATGACTATGTAGCTACAAGTCAAGCAGCAAATGTATTTAATCCAATAGCAAAGCCAGCTACTCCTATAGTAGAACTACTACCATTGAATGTTTAAAAATGCGGCTGCAGGTGGAGTTAGAAGAATAAGAGTACATTTAGGCAGCTGCCTGCTTGGCCTGAAGTACTTACCTGAGACCAAGCCACTTGTGACACAACAAATTGAGCACCAGTCATGAACCATTTATTGTGACAGCCTCTCTGACAGCCTCCATTTTTGCAGTCTTGGGCAGGCAGAAAAAGCAAGAGATCTACAGAGCCCTAATATGGGCAGGCACAACTCCAGGATTACAGTGCTCTAAATATGGCTTCCTTTGTCATGTCCCTCATGCTGGTGGATCATCCCCCTCACTGTTGCCAAGTGGTTAAGGATGCTTTGTCCTCCTGTTTATTTCCAGGAGGAACGAGGGGCCTGTGAATGGGACCTTCTGCCAGTGGTGGTGATATTAGTGTCAGTGGCTGCCATTATAATTGCCCATGATGCACCAGAATCGCATGGTTTTGCCCCGGGGCCTTTTTGGCAATTACAGTCGTGGCCACAAGCCTATTGGCAAACCAGGTAGTGGCATGTCTCTTGCTTTTCCAGAGATGTTATGAAAGGCAAGGGAAACCTCTTTCCCCTTGCTCTTTCTTCAAGCGCATGAAAAAAGAGTGTGGGGGGGAGTTCTTCGGTTTGCACAACAAAAGGAAAATAGGGATGCTTTCTTATATTCTGATTAGCTCTGTTGAATACTCAGCGCAGAAGACAGAGATAAAAGTGACACAATTTTAAACAGTTCAGCTGTTCCCAGGATGTTTGTCTAGTACATTCAAGGCCCTGACTGACTGGCTGCTTGCCCACCCTGTGTCCTAGCCAGGGTTGTTGTTGTTCAACGGTTGTGTAGGAGGAGAGGGAGCCTTGAGATCTTCCTGCCGTGGATTGATTTGAAGCAGGTGCCTTATCGAAGCAGCCTCCATCTTATCCCACCTCCCACATACCCATCTGGAGATCAGGGTTGCTGTGGTTTTGTGTTCCTTTCCATTTGGTTCTAGAAAAATGTCCTTCATCTCTTCCCAGAGATATGGCTTGTACGTAACAGGAGGGAAATGCGGGAGCCATATCTTTATAGCAAGGTTTTACTTCCCTCCCTCCTCGGTTGTCAGCCTTGGTGCTTGGAGATTTCCTCCTAGACTTTTCTGACTGATTTATTAGCATGGCAGGGATGGGGCATAGGTTATCAACCATTGTATCTTCGTGTTCTTTACTCTTTATACTCACAAAGTCAATCATATTGCAACACCAACCAACAGCCCCATCCCATTTTCCCGCCTGATGTGAAACAGGAAAGTGCTGCCGCCCTGCCAAAGTCTCGCTTGCTGGGATTGCGCAATGATGGCTTCCAGTGTGATCTCATGAGATTTGTGGAGCTCTCACAAGATCTCACTGGAAGCCACTGCCATTGCTGCTTCTTGCTTCTCCAGAGGCGGGTGCCTAGGTCTTCCGAAAGCTTTAGTTCTTCAAAGATGGGCCTTCAAAGTCTAGTCTGCTCTTCTGGTGGGGCACTTCTGGTGGTTCCCCGTGCCCCTGAGGTTCAGCTGTCCTTCACTAGGGCCAAATCTTTAGCATGGCAGTCTCTGCCCTGTGGAACTCCCTGCCAGTGGAGGTTCAGCAGGGAGCTATCCCTGCCTTCTGAAAATGGCACTATTTAGGCAAGCCTTTGCAATATGGATTTCTCTTTTTAACCAATCATATATCTACTGGTGTTTCAAATAATATTTTATGGGTATTTATGGATTGAGTTTAAATGTTGCAGATTAGAAATATTTAAATGAATGAGTGAGTAAATGAATAGTACGACTTCTAGAAGACATCTGAAGGCAGCCCTGTATAGGGAAGTTTTTAATGTTTGTTGTCTTACTGTGTTTTTATATTTTGTTGAAAGCTGCCCAGGGTGGCTGGGGCAACAAAGTTAGATGGGCAGAGTACAAATAAAATAATAAAACTATTATTATTATTATTATTATTATTATTATTTATTATTATTATTAGTCTGCCTGACAGAAGATATGAATGGGATAGCACAGGCTGTCATGGTTTTGTTACTAGGCCTACTCCGGTGTCTTTAAACAGCCTGATACATGAAGTTCCCCCATCCCATTCTTCTCCATGCCAGAAAAAGGGCCAGGAGAGAGACCAGCTGGACTGAGTTACATTTTCAGTAGAAACAGATGTAACCTTCAATGGTGATAGAATTACAGTAAGGTCTGGGAAGGTCAGGCCCCTTTGCAGCATTAGGGGCCTCCTGGCTTCCCTTCAGGACTCAGAGATACGCATTTTGTACAAAAAGAAGGAGCCGAAGGAAAAGAATTCTCCTTTGTTTCACCCAGACTGGTGTTCAAAGCACATGGAGCTGAGACAGGGGAAAGAACAAATTCACCCTAAGAGCTGTGTGAGGCAGCAGCAACGGGCTGAAAAGGGTAAAAGTTTCCTTCAAGTATTCAAGGCAAATAAAATCATAAATATCTAACACAAGTTACACAGGGAGAAATTGCATCCGCGTGCTTTCAAATCCTCTCAGACTGGGGGGTTTGGATGTGTACTAGAAATCCACATATCAAAACTGAAGTTAGAAAATATGAATTCTGAATTTATCCCCTGCCCTCGGGCCGCTTTTTCTAAATCTTTCATTTTTGATATATCCACATTAGCTTCGTACATTTGATGTAATGTGGATTCACACATCGGTGTTCCTATAAAAATAGCTCTATCAAAATCTATAAGCCATGGCAGCTAAATGGAACCTCCATGTTCAGGGGCAGTTTAGCTCATTGATGACAGAAACTGATCAGGAAGGGCAAGCAGTCTCTCATGCACAGTAGATTTTTGAGAAGATATTTATTGTGATCTTTAATGGGTGCTATGGTGTCCATGGGCACCATGCTGGAAACCCCTGCTGTTATTGGAAACTGCTCTATCCAGGTGCTAGGGTTCAAGTCATTTCTTGGGTCTTTCAAAATGATGATGTAATTAACTGTGAGTAACAGTAGGTGCCCTGGGACAGGTCCAGAGGGACAAAAGGAGAGAAGACTTAAACTGGCTTCACATATTTCACACAATCAACGCTTTGCCAACTCCCCTGCCCTTGCAATCTGTTGTTCCATGCCAAGAACTAATTGCATATTTTCTTTGTGGGCTGCGGACACATTTTAGCAGTCCTGTAGCATCAGCAGATATTATTGGCATCTCCATAGGGTTGCAGACTTTAATCAATATAATCTGTTACCCTAAGAGTTTCTATCCACTGCCTGCATAAGGACAGCTTAACTATTGCTGAAGCTATAATTCAAGCCGGAGCCCTTGCAGGCGGCTGCTCTCTCAGGTAGGACAGCGAGAGCGAGGCTGAAGCAGCGACAGCTGGAGGGCACTCTCTGCAGGTTGCAAAGGCGAGTGCAGCTTCCCCAGCAGAAGTTGCACAAAGGATGAAAATGAGTTCTGCTGTTCTTGGACCAGCCCTTCATCTGGAAAGGGGAGCTTGCAAAACTTTGCAATCAGAGAAGAGACTGTCTGCCAGTCATTTGCCAATTTCTTCCTTCAGCGTTTTCTTCATGAACATTCCAAGCTTGGGAATAATTTTAAACAATTACTGCCTGCCGGTGCTATTTTTCTAGAAAAAGAGGTGCCGGAACTCGCTGTGAACGCCTCCCTTGTTCTCTGAAAATGGCAATGGTGCCCACCTGAGAGGTGCCAGCACTGAGTTCCGGCTGAAAATAAAGCCCTTCTGCCTGCCAGTGAAAAGAATAGAGTTGCAGTGGTTTACCAGTCCCAAGATAGGCAGTTCTTAGAGACGAGTCATAATTTGGTTATCTGCAAAAATAACTATTCATCAGTTGGCTTGGTGTTTTGTGGTTTGTTTTGTTCTGCTGCTGCTGCTTTTTTTTTGAGCAGTGCAATGCGGATGTAGAAGACTTGTGTGACAACAAAGAGGCACTCTGGGGAAACTAAGACACTGGGAGAATCTGTGACAGAGAGAACTCCAGAACAGTGGCAAAGCTGCACACTCCAACACCGGGGGTGGAGAGCAGGCGTGGGCGTGGCTGGCACACGTCCCGGGGGTGTGGCCCGCTGCCCACAAGGGTGTGGCGTGTGTCCCAGGGGGCATGGCGTGAGTCCCAGGGGCGTGGTGTGGCGCCTGCAGGGGCATGGCACTCAGTGCGGTGGGGGGTGCACAACACGTGTCCGGGGGGTGGTGGCCGTGATGGTACCCCCCTCCCTGATGGTGCTGGGGCGGTACGCTCCCCCCGCCCCCCTTTCCTCCTCCAGTGCTCCAGAATCAGGCAGAAGCTGAAGCAGGCAAGTGGGAAAGGGTAAGGGGCAGAGATGAGTCAGGCTGGTGAAGAGTCACAGGGATCTCCCTCTCTTGCTGCAACAAGCTCCCTCCCTCCCTGACTCCCAGAACCACAAGCGGCATGAAAAGTGCGGAGCAAAGGCAGGCTGCACGCAGAAGTAGTATCCGATTGCTTGGAAAAGGCCCTGGAGAGGAGGAGACATACAGTAGATGGCTTGGGGAGGCGGGAACCTTTATTCTTGGCAACTGGTTTCATGGAGTGAGAACTAGAAGGAAGGAGCTGGTGTGCTCAGGAGGCCTGACACTCAGCCAAGTCGGTGAAGATTGTATTTTTGCTAATAAAGTGTTATCACCAACTTTGACCTGTGTGATTTGCTGCCTGGCTCGCTCTGTGACAGATATCAAGTGCAGGTGGTATTGATTGGTGACAGGAACTTGTAAATATGTGCAATAGCTTGATGGAATAGGGGTGGACTGAATAGGAAAGAAGAACTGTGTATATGTTTGAAGAGGGGAATTGGGGTTAGGGTTAGAGCCATATTCACAGCCAGAGCCATGAATATGCATACATACGCATTAGCATATGCAAATAGGCATTTTAAATACCTAGCCGATGCCCCTGGATACAATTCAAGGGGAATCTAGCACATTACGTGTGCAAAGGTGCTTCTGTACCAGGATCATTCACTCTACCTCAGTCTTCCCCAACCGAGCACCATCCAGGTATTGTTGAACTACAGATCTTTCGCCATGCTGGTTGGGACTGGTGGGACTTGGAGTCCAACAACATTTGGAGGGCATCAGGTTGGAGAGAGCTGCTCTAGCTGGACTACAGCAACAATGTTTGTACTGTAAACATGCTCCAATGGCAGATACAGGTCTAGAAGATTCAAAGTGTTCTCAATGGCCCCATCTTCACCAGTAGAGAACATCTGTACATCTGTGTATCAGTAGCTGTGTTAATCATCTGTATTCTGGGTGATCAAGTCTGTTCCTGAAATGAGTTCTATCCGGCTTCTGATAGGATGCTTTGAGGGTCTGCTGACTGAAAGATGAGATGGAAATGTTTTAGATAAATGCGCAAATATTGTATAGTATTCATAAATGCCTGCTTCGTATCCAGAAAGCCTCTTTGGTGTTTCTCTTTTCTAGGTGCCCAGGAAATGTTGACTGTGTCCAGGTAACAAATCTCAGCCCGTTGTTTCTTCCCTTCCCACAGGAGCACATTTACAAGCTGATGAAGAGCGACAGCTATGCACGTTTCCTCCGTTCTAACGCTTACCAAGACTTGTTGCTGGCAAAGAAGAAGGTATCTGTCGGGAAGGACATGCTTGCATCTCTGAGCACTTCTTGACTCCTGCCTGCTGCTTGCTGCTGTGTGAACATGAAAATTAAGTTATTTGGGGGGCTTCTTGCTGACTGAAAGCACGTCTCTCTTTCTTTCTCCTTGAAGCTCCATGTTTGGCATCCCTATAAACAGCAGTCAATGTGAGGAAGACCTACTCTGAGCATCCTCTGCGAGGATCATGTGAACTAGAAGCTGCCTAGTTCTGAGCCTGGTCAATGGGAAGGGGCAAATGGCTTGACTGCCAAAAGGTCAGGGTTCAATCCCTGGTGGGACTGGGAAAGACCCCCTTTCTGAAATCCTAGAGAGATGTATTGTCAGTCTCAGTGGACAATGCTGAGCTCTATGGACCAATGGTCAGACTCCGTATAAGGCAGTTTCCTAGGCTCGTACATCAGTGGAGCACACTGGCTGTCTGCCCGATCCTCCTTTCTCAACTCTTCTACCTCAGGGTCAAATAACAAAATACACTTGATGCACAATGCACAGCTACATCTCTGTCTTTTCTTATTTGCACCCATGGAGGACCCTGACGTTGCTGGCACTGTTCAGCTCATCCCTCCCTAGGAGCAACACAGCTATGGGGATTAGTTCAAAAGTTCCCACTGGCACTAAGTTCTCATTGCCTCCCCTCCCCACCCGTTGCAGTTCTAATATCAATCCAGCAGAAGGGGCACACCTGCAATTACATAAGGGGAGAACACCTGGAGCCAGAGCTGCATGCTAAGGAGGAGGTGTAATGTGTAGTTTGACCCTGAGGACCTTTAACTGGAGATGTGAGAGCTTGACCCTGGGACCTAGCATGGGATCCACTGTGGAGTTACAGCTCGATCCACCGTGGAGTTACAGCTCCTTCACAAGGATCTCTCAAACTAAACATAAGGCATTAAAGTCCCATTCTAAACTCCTTCAGGACAAATATGTGATCTTGTGTAACGTTACCTATGACTCTCTATTTTTCATAACCATGGCAGTAACTAATGACTGGGAAAAGTAGCACAAAACCCTCTTCCATTTAGTGTCTTATGTCAAGCCTTGTAGCTTCTCGTAAGGGATGCCTTGCATGGAGACTTTGTCATGATTTCTTATCAGCTCCCCTCCTGTTTTACCTGCACTTTCCTGTATGTGGTTTCTCCCCTCCCACTTTTTTCCATTTAATTTTAAACTAATTATGGTAAGACTGGGAACTCCTCAAAAGCGGCACACCTTTCCATTCCTTTCTGCCTTTTTGGCATCTGCATGCCCATTATCAGCAATATGTTTTCCATCCAGGTCAAAATAATAAAGGGTTTCTTGTTGCGCTGATAATCACCTGATTATCCAGGCAAGGAAGAATGGTGGGGAACAGAGGTAGTTTTATCTCCATTTGTGGCTGTGTTTGAACGTCTTTCAGAAGCTCCTCCACCCTCCAACTAGAACCATGTTGGATAGACATCTGAGAGAATTCCCCACTTCTCTCATTCGCCTTTGACTTTCAAGACACTTTGTGCAGAGTTTTCCCAGCTTCTGCAGCTTGGGTTTACTGCGGTTTCCTATTGCTTTGCTCTTTGCTGTCTCCATCCTGCTGGGGCTTCCATATGCTGCCAAATGAAAGTTAGCCTCCACTGCAGCTCCAATGTGCCCTCGATGATTAGAATGGATTTCCCACAATCCAGCAGTCCCTTCTGTGTTCAGGAGCTCAGAGGCACAGCTGGAGTTACTGAGCAAAGCCTTCGCACTTCTGTTAGTGTGGCGGCGGCCTCTCATGCACTTTGGAGACAACTAGATTGGATCGAATGTGTTGGAACAATTGGGCGAAAACTGTTGTACTCTGAAGCAGCCCTCACTTAGCTCCAAGAGTGTGCCAGGTATTTTCCAGAACCATATTTTCCATGTTGTCTGCCATTGCGAATGCTGTATAGAGGCAACAGACCAAATAAGAGGTTCTCTTATACCAGACATTGACTTCAGGCAGGTTTTAGTGGCATAAGTTGAAGTGGGGAAATGCAGGTACTGTGGTAAGGTCCTATTTGCTCTGTGTGGTTTTCTTGTTTCTCTTCAGACTGGTGGGTTGCTGCCACACATGGACTGTGGGCTTGATGGGTTACTGTTTCAAGAGGCCTTCTTTAAAGTACACCTTCCTTTTAGTGTATGCTTCAGGGTGCAAAGTGACTACCTATGAGCATCGTTCTGCTGCTTCTGTTGGAATCTTGTCAGATGATGCAAAGCATCAGATTTTATTTAAGGTATACATGTAGTCCTAGTCTGGATCTTCAACTGGTGCCACAGATTCCTCTAGTAGTCTGGTCCCAGAAGGGGTAGCCTTCTTAAATAACTGAACTGTGGGTGCTGGGTGATCAATCACCTGTAGTGGTTTTCTTTTTCTTTTTTCAGATGTAGGGTTTTGTACCCAAGTGCTTTCAGGGGATCAAGTAACGTTGGTTGGTTGGTTGGTTGGTTGGTTGGTTGGTTTGCTTGCTTGCTTTGTTTTTTAAAGAAAATGAAATAATTAATGGGATTGTAAGAGGTTGGATGGTAAGAGGAGGATGTAAGCTTTGCTGGAGTTCTGTTTCAATTTCAAAACTAGAAAGGGTATATAAGCTTCGCTGCTGCAGAAGGACAGCAAAAAGTGTTTAGTCACTTAAAAAAACAAGAGTAATAATAATAATAATAATAATAATAATAATAATAATAATAATTTATTATTTATTCCCCACTACCGAGAAGGCCCTCTGCCTGGTTCCCTGTAGCTTTGCTTCTCGCAATGAGGGAACCGCCAGAAGGCCCTCGGCGCTGGACCTCAGTGTCCGGGCAGAACGATGGGGGTAGAGACGCTCCTTCAGGTATACTGGACTGAGGCCGTTTAGGGCTTTAAAGGTCAGCACCAACACTTTGAATTGTGCTCGGAAACATACTGGGAGCCAATGTAGGTCTTTCAAGACCGGTGTTATATGGTCTCGGCGGCCGCCCCCAGTCACCAGTCTAGCTGCCGCATTCTGGATTAGTTGTAGTTTCCGAGTCACCTTCAAAGGTAGCCCCACGTAGAGCGCATTGCAGTAGTCCAAGCGGGAGATAACCAGAGCATGCACCACTCTGGCGAGACAGTCCGCAGGCAGATAGGGTCTCAGCCTACGTACCAGATGGAGCTGGTAAACAGCTGCCCTGGATACAGATTTGACCTGTGCCTCCATGGACAGCTGTGAGTCCAAAATGACTCCCAGGCTGCGCACCTGGTCCTTCAGGGGCACAGTTACCCCATTCAGGACCAGGGAATCCTCCACACTTGCCCGCCTCCTGTCCCCCAAAAACAGTACTTCTGTCTTGTCAGGATTCAACCTCAATCTGTTAGCCGCCATCCATCCTCCAACTGCCTCCAGGCACTCACACAGGACCTTCACTGGTTCTGATTTAAAAGAGAGGTAGAGCTGGGTATCATCCGCATACTGATGAACACCCAGCCCAAACCTCCTGATGATCTCTCCCAGCGGCTTCATGTAGATGTTGAAAAGCATGGGGGAGAGGACAGAACCCTGAGGCACCCCACAAACAAAGTGAGCTTTGGAAACAAAGTGAGCTCTGAAAAGCAAAGCATCCCAAAGGAAAGCTATAAGGACGTGTTGATGCAAAGTGTGCTTCAGCTGGAAGGACAGGGGCACAACCCCATCTCTGAGTCCTGACTGACTGGGAAGATGGTTGGATGCGACACTGGGAGGCAGCATTAACTGAGCTACCTCACAGCTGTTAGGGCAATGCCTGCCTACTGCTCCCTAAGAGTTGATGAGGGAAACATCTAATGCAGGCATGTCAAAAGTCCATTTCGGGGGCCTAATCCAGCCCACCGGTCAACAACAACTCCAGCTCCAACTCTAAAAAAGCTCAAAAATATGCAGCCTACCATTAAGCTGAATGGGGTGGCTGCTTCCAGCAGTTGAATTTGGGTGTCCTGAATTTGGTTGTCCTGAAAAGGCAGCAAACGGATAAATAAAATAGCTTTTATTGTTGTGTTTTAACGCCAGGTAGTGGGAGAGGGGAGTTGTGAGGTTTTCTGCATCAGGCACCAAAATAACTTGGCCAGCCTCTGGAGTCCTGTGCACCTTAACCTGGGAAGGGGCATTTGCTGCTCTGCAGCAAAATGACTTGGATGTGAAATCCCCTGCAGGAATGACACATCCTGGCACTAGGTCTTGTATTCAAAGAACTAGCTATTTGGGGGTTGGAGTAGGAGCAATCAGGTCGTGTGGCTACAGCAAAGCCAGGGGAAAGAATGCAGATACGGCAGACCTATGGACCCACATTTTCTCATCCCCTTGCAGCTAACTGGAATGAGCGCTTTCCTTATCAAAGCATTTTTACATTACATAGCTATGCCCAACTCTTTGCTACAACAATGGGTTGATTTGTTCTCTTGTGGCAACTGCCCTCCCCCCACAACCCCCCCTTTTTTTTTTTTTGCATGTTTGAAAACTGCATAAGCCGGCCCCTGCATATTTGTATGTGCTGAATTCTGCATTTACAGAACTTAATGAGTGGAAATGTTAACATGCTGCCGCAGACAGAACGGTTAGGTTTGTAATTATTCGCCCTGCTTTAAGAGAGGGACACACAGAACGCTCCAATTAAATTCATCAAGGTTTATGAAACTGTCCCCAGGATGTTCACTTTTCAGTGGACTCAAGCATGCAACAAAGATCTAGTCACCCACAAGTTATCATCTGAGCCTACTTCGTTAGGCAGGAATACTGTTGATAACAAAATGCACACATCCTTTTTTGATCTGTGTCAATCTATTTGTCATACTTGCAGTGCGATGCTATGCATACCTACGTGGAATTTACGTTCCCCTATGTTCTAGCAAGTGTGTTTAGGATTGTGGCCTCAGAATAGCCTCGCTCAGGCGTGTTGCCTTAGCAGGGAATGTCAACATGAGCAGGGAGGTGTGGGAGCTTGCATGTTCACCCCACCCCTAAGGCCCCCACATGCATCAGCTCCACTTACTCCACCCACAACCTTCCCACAATGCACTCAGAGTCCTATTCATGAACAAGCACTCTGATAGCAGAGGGGCTTCCTGATTGCAGGAAGGCATCTAAAAACATATTTAGTCTAGCATGCCTGGAAACCCCTTCCAGACTTTCCTGCTCAGCTTAGGAAGGTTGGGGTAGGGCAGGACATTGGGGAATTGCCCTGCCTGAATGCCCCTTACTTGTATTGGCATTTCCTGTTCAGGCATAATGCCTAAGCAAGGCTTACGTCTATAGTACCTGTCCATTTTCAGAATGCTTGATGTGCAATATTTCAGCCATCCTCACAAGAACCCGGTAAGGTAGGCCAGAATTATTGTTCCCATGCTTCAGATGGAAAGAGGAGGTACTGGTGAGGAAACCCACTGTTTGCCTAATGCCAGCTAATAATTCTGTGTCTCAGTTTGAACTGGAAATGTCAGAACACACACCCTTTGCTGCATCATTACATCAGCTCTGAACTGATTTGGTCTCAATCTCTTTCAGCACAAGAAAAGGCATATAATAGGTTTTATTCATTGCTGTTCCCCCTTGAACTGATGGAAGGTTATTTGACACAGCAGAGGCTTCGGTCAGCACAAAAGGAAGGAAAACAATTTCCACCACTTCCCTCTCCCCCTGCGCACGCCCCCACCCCCCAAAAAATCTGCTCCAGATGGTTAGGAGCAGTGTTGTGGGGCAGAGGGGTTTTTGGTTTTGCAGAAAATTCAATTTTATAAGTTCATTCATAACAATGGATTAATGCAAATTGCAAATAAACATTAGGCAGGTTTTTAACTTTGTTTACTAAATACCTGTAAAATAAACTAACTACATTAAATAGCTCTCTGGGGCATCATATAGTATTCTGTTGCAACCTGAACATTTCCCAATGAACATTTTCTGATGCAAATTACCTTAATCTTCATAGGAAAGTTTTCTAGACAACTTTCCCAGAAAACCCACATCCCTGTTTGGGGGACGCTTTGGAACAAGCCTGGGAGGTGGCACAAGATGCTGCAGGGAGAAGAGGGAATTAGCCAAAATAAGCTCCCTCCTTATTTTGGAAATCTCCTGTTTCATCATCTCCTATTAAACACCATTGGGTGTAACCCATTCAGGGATCTAGAACCAGCTGTGGTTTAATGCAATTCTATTCATTTCCCAAAATCTATACTTAGCTGCCTAATGCGCAGTCAGGCCATCCAACTCAGTGTTATCCTCACTGAGGGGCAGCAGTTCTCCAGAGATTCAGGCAGGAGTCTTTCCAAGGCCTTCCTGGAGATGCCAAGGACTGAACCTGCGTTCCTTCTTAATTCAAAGCATGTGCTCTATCACTGAATGATAGCCCCTCTCCACTGTGCTATGTTGGCCCAAATAAGAAGGCCAAGAGACATCCCTTCGGTTCATCAGGGCCCAGATAAGCATCATTGCGCAACTTGAGCTGTGCACATCATCCCCAAGGCCATGGGCTGCACTTTCAGGGCCCTGCTTTCGGATACAGGGTCTTCTGAACTGCTGTTTTGCAACAAGTGTCAAAATAAGATATGGAACGCCTTTAGTCTCCCAAAGCAAGACACTTCAGAGAGCCCTGGAAGAAAATCTGAATATTTAAGATTCTCTGATCCCAAACCTCAGCTTTTCTTAATTACAGATACCTAGAGGTCCCACTTGCAAAGAAGAAGCTTTTCTTTTCTTTTAAAAAAAAGTCTTGCTCTACTCTGATGCTGAATGCAAGGCAATTTGAAGACCATTCAGAAAAGGTTCAGAGTTCAATTCCTCACCATCGAGGCCTAAAATATTTTATTTACAGACATCTTTTCTAATAATTGCTGTGCTAAACTACCAATGCAAAGGTCATCTCAATGCATTCTTTAATTGAGCATTTAATCTCAAGCACCAGAGACTTTGCCATTAAGATTCTATTTTGATGTACACGGAAAACTACCAGAACCAGATGAAAAGAAGTTGAAGGAAAGGCCTCTTAGTTCAGGGGTGGAGCATCTGCATAGCAGCAGACACAGTGTCCCGGGTTCAACCCCCAGCATATCCAGATGATACTCCACTTAAATGGTCAGGCTGCTTCCTATGTAGCACAACCCTAAGAAGCCTTTATGATGAAGCATCTTATTTTTTCTTGTGCTCATAAGTTTTGCTGGTGTTGACAGCAGTTCCCATTTTTTCTCCTTGCTTCTTATATGTTTTGACCCGAAAGATGTGTTTCTTCCTGTTTGTACGGCTGGCTGCGTGTTAATGCCTAGTATCTGATTAATCCCTGCACTCCAGGCATGGCAAACCTGTGACCTTTTGAGATGTCTTTGGATTCCAGCTCCTGTCTTCTTCAGTCCATATGGCCAAAGGTCAGGGATGTTGGGAGTTATAGTCCAACAACGTCTGCAGGGCCAAAGATTTCCCATCCCTGACATAAAGGGTTCACCAGATTCTCCCTTGCCTGCTCCTACAGACTAGTATTGAACCCATCAGCCCCAGCCATCATCTGGAGAGCCAGAGCTTCCTCATCCCTATTCTAGGCAGATTCTTGAAGCGATCTTTTATCACCCGCTTTCACTTCTTTCTCTTCCATCTGCTCGTAGATCTGATCTGTAAGTCACAAGCGCTGATTTTATCTTTTGTATTCCGGAGGAGTAGAATTGGTTGTGCTAAAAGAATGAAGAGAGTTCTCCAAAGAACTTGACCCTTTGCCATCACTCTTCTCCCTTCCACACCCCCATGCAGCACCAACTGACAGGAAGTTTTCAAGTACAGAAACATTCACTTGCAAAGCAGAGTGTTTAGTAAAAGGTAAAGGTACCCCTGCCCGTACGGGCCAGTCTTGACAGACTCTAGGGTTGTGCGCCCATCTCACTCAAGAGGCAGGGGGCCAGCGTTGTCCGGAGACACTTCCGGGTCACGTGGCCAGCGTGACAAAGCTGCATCTGGCGAGCCAGAGCCGCACACGGAAATGCCGTTTACCTTCCCGCTAGTAAGCGGTCCCTATTTATCTACTTGCACCCGGGGGTGCTTTCGAACTGCTAGGTTGGCAGGCGCTGGGACCGAGCAACGGGAGCGCACCCGCCGCGGGGATTCGAACCGCCGACCTTTCGATCGGCAAGCCCTAGGCGCTGAGGCTTTTACCCACAGCGCCACCCGCGTCCCAGAGTGTTTAGTACCATTATGCAAAGCCCTGCTCTTTAGGTAACTTCCCAATGTTCCTAACTCCCTTCAGCAAAAGTGTCCTTTTGCTAGAAAGGAATTCCCTTTCGACCTTTGCTTAGAAGGGTGGCAGTTCTGCTGTTTTTCTCTGATTTCTTGACCCTTCATTTTAAAAGAAAGTGCAGATTTAATAAAACCACCAAACACATTCATAATCCCATGTCTCTGTTACTTCCCAGCCACAAGTGAACTGGAGGTAAGATAGTCCCTCCCCCCATGATGAGCTGATGGTTCCCCACCACCACCACATTTAATCCCTTTATTCAACAAAATGGCAGGCTTGCTAGCAAAATTACCTCTTCTTTCATAGTTCCTAGGATTTGTCCAATGCCAAATGAATCACGTCACTTTGGAGAACAGCAACATACCCAAATTGTTGGTGGCTTTCTTGTTATAATGAAATTATATTATTTATATGCTCTAGCAGATAATTAATTTGTTTTTTCAACAACAACCACCACCACCACCACATCATAGTCTCATCCTGGTGCCTCCCCCCGTCCCCAAAGCCATGTACAGAAACTGGCCAATCCTGGTGGCTGAGACTTTCTACCAACACTGGCAGTGGGTTGACATCAACCCAACACACCTGAGGGCAGCAGGGCAAGCCAAGTGATGGACAGCTCTGTCTCCCAACATCTTGCTGCTGCTCTCCATCCGCTACCGCTCACATTTGCTGTCTAATGGCAGGGTTGGCCCTGGACTCATCCTTGCTCCCTTACATCTGCATATTTTAGGATAAAATAAATTGGTGGTGGACAGTCCTGTTTATTATGGAAACTTGCCTGCCATTACTGTCCTCACTTAAGAGATTCCTGATAAACCTACAAGGAACCCTAGGGTTCCTCATAGCACAGTCTAAAAACCACTGTTCTATAGCCATTGTATATGTTGAGTCTCACCTGTATAGAGCTATACAACAGCATAATAAAGCTATAAGTAGGTCAGTCTTGAATGATATTGGCCCTGATCCAGTCACGAGTGGTTCATGGTTCCATAAGGCATCAGCATTCAAGTGAAAAGACATCCAACATGCAGGGTGAGGAGAGCAAGTGTGTTTCCATGGGTGGCTCCTTCATGTTGGATAGGGACAATGACTGTTTTTAGTACCATATTGGTTCATTTTATAAAACCAATTAGCCTATCCTGAATGGTAGGAGACCACCGTGTGCTGATTGGGAAAGTTTAGGCTCTATCCTGAACCACAGAAGGGAAAGTTCAGGGATTGATTGATTGATTGATTGATTGAATTATTGAAAAGACAGATGCAGAATGCAGCATTACGTATCTTTCTCTTGAGCTATGTAAGTTTGGACTAGAGCTACCTCCAGAGCCACATTTTAAGCACAGAGCACAGGATACTTCCCAATGGGAGAAGCTACCAGAATATTACAATACAAAAGTTAGTTGCTTTGCTCTTGCAAATTGTAGCTGCCATGTTTTGAGATGTTTTATCTTTCTGCTTTTCTTTTGCTAATGTTTTTAGATCAAAATTTAAGCTGAAGGGATTCTTTTTTTTCCTTTTCTTTTCTTTCTTTTCAGTAGTTTTTCCTTCCTAACTTTTTTTTCCCCTTCTAAAGCCCGAGAATGAGCAAGGTCGTAGAACTTCTCTAGAAAAGTTCACTCGCAGCGTGGTAAGTTCATTTTGCTTTTGCTTTTCTTTCTTTTCCCCACCTTCTCTTCAGCATTTTCTTTTATTTCAGAAATTATTTTATTAAATTTTATAACAACTCCTGTGTAGTTTACTCCTGTACAATAAAAAGGTAGAATTTCATGGTATGCAAATTTCGGCCAGTGAAGGTACCCCAGTCTAACAATAAGCAGAAGAGATGTTTAATGAACTTGTTTCAAACCAGTTGCCCAATAATGGACAACTTACAATTTTCATTCATAAAAGCGCATGCAGATTCTGAACTCAAGCCCCAAAATCCGTTACAGTTCTGTTGATCTAACATGGGCCTCTAAAATATCTTGGAACGGTCAGCTATGATTGAATAATGTCAGCTATCCTATGCAAAGATGCGTGAGACTAGTTCCATGAGCCTGATAGTATTTCATTAAAAAGTACTTTTTCCTCATGCAGCAGCACATGGCAAATTGCTTTTGAAACGGAAGAGAGCTTCAAAAGTAATTTGTGATGTGCCTTTAGTGGTTGGCAATTCAAAGAAAAAGAAGAGGACAAAATAAACCCAGTCTAGCAAAAGTGTGAGCTTAAGCTGCTCTTTGAACCTGGCTGTAGAATAGAATGTATAACATTTCCTCAACCATTCATGAGAACCATAAGAAGAGCCCTGCAGGATCCAACCAAAGGCCTGTCTTGTCCGACATTCTGTGACCAACCACAAGCTTCTGAGCATGATAGCCTTCTCCTGCTGTCATTCCCCAGAAACAGATACTCATGTTTGCCTCTGATCCTGGATGTAGCATACAGCCATCATGACTAGTAGCCAACGACAAACTTATCCTCCATGTAATCCCCTTCCAAAGGCATCTAAGCTAGTCTTCTCTTTTCAGTCACCTAAGTGGAAGACACTAGCAGAGGTGGATCTTGAGGTCACGTCTGAAGCTTCTTTCATTCATACCAGCAACCACTAATTTTCTTTTAACTTTTCTGACCACATGGGCTTCATACTCAGGTATGAATGCATGAGTGGGGAAAAAAGCAAAGTGGGAACCTGTGCCAATTTCCTATTGCTGTTACACAATTTCACTGCCTGGATATTATTCTATGGAGAAGTCCTTGCCACATTATGAATCACAGAGGACTTAACAGCAACCCCACATCTGTTTTCTATTTAGGCTACACATACTGTTTCCCATTTCCCCAAACAGTAGAAAGTTCCAGGGACAGCTGCTGTAGTATCGTATTCTTTAAAAGGGAGAGAATGCTGGAGGTGATTGTCAATTTCTGAACTATGTGTTTATTTACAAATACATCATCTGACTGTGGAGGAAGTAGACAAACACCCAGACAGCTAGAGCAAGCCTTTAAACCAGCTTCCGTTTCCCAAAAGCAAATAGCAGGCCTTGAAAACCCACCAGCCAGTTGCAGAGATACTCAGAGGAATTTTATCTCCACTATCTGCATCCTAGCTGCCTCACTTCCCGGTCCCCTTGCAAGCAAGTGACATGTGTCCTTGCTAGTAATCAACCACCCAAAGCCATTGAAGAAACATCTTGTAAGGTCATTACTCTCCATACAGGAAAAATATTTAGCTGTGAGCTAAATAGGGGGAAATAATTTTCTGATTTGATAGCCATTACAGTTACAGCTGTGTTCTTTCATTGCCAGATTTCTCTTGAAATTAGCAAAGATGATGCAGCTGAACGATAACTAAAAACATTTGTACTCCTTTGGTTCTCTTTGGTGCCCTAGTGGGCTTCTGCCTTCTTCTCACTTGCCTTCACGATCCTCTCCCTCATTTGCCCACATGGCTGCTCAGCCTGTTGGCTGTGGAGATGTACAGTATGTGGCCTTGTTTGCACCTACCCAGGATGTCCTTAGGCAGCAGCACAAAATCATTGCTGACCTCAAGGGGGTCCCCAAGGCCAATCAGATTAAATGGCAGCTTGGGGCAAATGAAGCTGACGGCAGTGAAGACAACGAAGAAATAGTCCTGAGAAGAACACACCAAAATATGGAAAACACTTTTCAATACACTTTTGGAAGCATGAATAAGGCAAGCAGTTCCAGCTTAGCCCTCATTGCTTTCTAATTGCATATGCCACCATGTGAATCAGGGAGGAGGAAGCTGTGGCCCCCCCAGATGTTGCTGGTCTACATCTTCCCTAACCATCAGCCATGCTGGCTGTCTTAACAAGGTTTCCATCCCAGATGTAGAATAATGGATATGGCTCCCTACTTGCTTTTGCTTCTCCTTTAATTGTTTAGATTCCCTCCCTTTGTACTTCTACTGAGGACAGAACTGCACGATATATGTTCTTCCTTTAAAAAAAAAAAGTTGCTCTCCCTCACATCCCACCACCTTTTGTGTCATGCAGCCACTGAGGTTGCTATTTGAAGGGAAAGGTTGGTATGGGAAGAATGTGACTTCTGCTTTCCTGCTGAAAAAATCACACATACCCTGAAGTTGCTCCTACCCTTGACGGAGAAAATATATGTCTGTCTTCCCCTTCAAATCTCAGCTTCAGTGGATAACAGCGTGCAAAAGAAACGAGTAGAAATGGCCACAACGAACCTGTTCCATGAGATTTGAGCTTGGCTGTCTTTCTCTTAATAGAAGTCCTCTGAACTGTTCTTTAGTGTGGAACATCCGTGGTTCAGGCAGGTGACCCTTTGGATTCTTGCCTTTTCTTTCTTCAGCTAGCTTTTAATGCATCTTCGATTTCCACCACAGCAAAGAAGCAGATTCAGAAATGGGTTCCAGAAACCAAACTGCTTTTCATGCACGCACAGAAAAAAAGAGTATTTTTTTCTAAGCTCGGTTGGTACCGTAGTGACTATGACATTAAAAACATAGATGCTGAATCAGAACAAAGACCTATCTAGTCCAGAATCCCATTGCCCACAGTGGCCAACGAAAGCCTACAGGAAGCCCTTGAACAGGACGTGAAGTTTATCCTATTGTCTATCCTGAATCTTCTAGCGTTCAGGTTAATTGGATGACCTCATGTTGTAGTATTACCGGGGGGGGGGCTCCCTATCCATGTTCTCTGTACCATGCATAATTTTCTGCACCACTCTCATCTCCCCTCCTTACCTTTTTTTCCTCCAAGGCTAAGATGAACCATCTCTTTCCTCTTTCCTCCTTGATAATTGCCCTTTGATTGACCTGTGATGGCAGTGTAAGCATAAAGGGGTACCTTTATGCTTCTGTATCCAGCCTTGCAAACCCATCCCACTTCACTGGCTGGGGGGCAATGGCAACACTGGGGAAATCCCACTGGAGGCTTCTCTGAGAAGCTGTTTTGGCATCCCATGTGCTGAGGACCCCAGGAAATGGTGTCCGAGTCCTTAGTTCAGATGTCAGTCACTCTGTACTGGGATACTGCCCAGAGTCTTGTCTCTCCTACACAGAATATGTGAGGTTTGTTACTTTCTCTCTCTGATCCTGCATGTTGAAGGGACAAATGCCTCCTACAGCCAAAACACATTTTGCAAGGATTAGCTTTTCTTTTCTTTTCTAATGAACCACTGCCAGCGCCTCACCATGGCTGAAGGGCATTTAAAACTAAATAGCTCTATCTTGTTTAAGAACCATTGCTGGCTCCTAAGAAAGGCTTTGAATGTTTGCTCACTAGCAAAGCTTCCCAAACGGCATGAAACAGACTCATGTACACTCGACTGCTTTGAATGCAAAGAGGAATGTACTAAATGGTGTCTTTCAGTTTTTCTGTTATTTTATATATGCAGGGTAATGGATTTTCAAATCAGTAGTGGGTGCATATAATCAGGACTGGAGGAAAGTGCTGAAGGCTCTTTAGTATTAATATTCTCTTTACTGACCCTAGTGAGTTTGAGCAATCACACCTGACATGCAGTTAACACACAGCAGTTCATTTAATTGGGGTGGTGGAGCAGGAGCTGGGGAAACAAGGAAAACTGCAGCTTCCTTGGGGTGTCACAAAAGATCTGGGCCCAAAGTACAACAGCGCAGGCTTCTACATTTACCGGCCAACAGGAGGCCTGCACAGTTTCAACACTGTGTTTGGCCTTCTTCTCAGGGTCTTTCCCACAGAACTACCTTGCCTAGCAATAATCCCCGGGTTTACCTTTGTTTCCAAATCACTAGACTGACTCTTCTTCGTCTCCAAGTCCCCACTGGGGCTTCCCCAGGCCCCACAGAGTTGCTCTCAGGCTGCAGTCCTTTTTCTGTCTTTCTCTGCTTTCCCACCTTCTAGGTCATGGCAGGAGGTGCTGGGAAATGTATCCCCAAACTTGCGAGGGCAATGGGGGAGGGCTGACATTGCACATGTGATGTCATGCGCATGACTTCAGGACTTTGGGAGGAGCCAGGGGCGGAGCCAAATGCAGTGGCCACATGACTCAATGGCTGGCGGCTCCTCCTCTGACTCCTCTTGGCACCATCAGCAGCTTCAACCCTCCTTCCCCTCTGCGGCAGGAGAAGCAGAAAGAAGAAGCCGGCTGCTCCAGGCATGCCACATTTGGTGATTGGCGGGCCCTGGCTCCACTCCCCAAAATATAGGGGGAGGCCAGAAGGGCCCAGTCCCTAGGAGCCAGTGCCCCTGCTCCACAGTCCTACAATTCAGGAGGAAAACTGCATTCAAAACTGTTATATTAGGAAAAATACACACTAAAACAATGGCAGAAGCATTTGCAAAGTGATGCAGAAAGGTGGTGAGCTGAAGATTGGGGAAATGAGAAACTGAGGGGAAACCCAAACTGATAGGTTCATCCATCCCTTACTGCAACAGACTTAATGTTTCACTGAGGTTTTGCATGCAAAAGTTAGGAGTTGAGGTGTACTTGGATGTTGCGACAGCGCTGCTGTGTGTGTCTCTCTGTGCCCTGATCTTCGTAACCCCTCTAGATAAGCACAATGTGTGGTTTTCATCAGGACACTACAAGAAAGGGGGGAAGACGTGAAGCTGGCACAGTTTTAGTCTCTTGTAGCAGAGGCATCAAAACAGTGTTTACGTGGCTCAAGTAAGTTGGATGTTCTCCATCATGCCTGCAAGTACACCTGTAATACTAATATGAAGAGCTGCCCTTAAGGGAGGACACACAAAGAGGCTGTTTTTCAATGGCAGAGGGGACAGGTGTGTCTGCATGCTTGGTAGGCAGCACTCCAGGTAGCAGGGGTGGCTAATCTGTGGCACCTCAGATGTTGGAGTTATGCTCCTATCATCTCTTGACAGCCATTGGTCTTGCTGGCTGGGGGACAGTTTTCATTCAAAATGTGGAGGGCCGCAGGTTAGCTATTCCTGACATACAGTCATTGCATTTGTCATAGTGACTGTGCATGTACACCATCAGAAAATTTACCTTCTTATAGCAAGAGCAGTTAGATGCAGCTGGAAATGAAAGTATCGGGCAGTCAGATAGTTACTGTGCAATCTCCGGGCACCAGTAGAGTAAGTGTGACATACTTGTACTTAGTGAGTTGACATTTGTACATCCAGATTGTGATTCTTCATCTAAGTAAACGTGTAATTTGCCTGGAAATAGTATTCAAGAATATGCTTTTGACTTTTTAAGAAAGAGAATCTATATAAGGCTTCATTTTTATGTTGTTACCCATTATTTGTTATATGCATGCTAAATCGATTCTTCTTTTGATCTCTTTTCATGTGAATTTATCTGTGTAGATTTTATGTTCTCTTGACATTACTTTTCTTTACTGTTGCTTTTTTAAAAAAAACTTACTTGAGCATTTAACTTTGTTTCTTTTCCTAATTTATGTTACCCTTCTTATGTTTATGGTGTGTATCATTTCTCCCCCAGCAAATGCTAATAAAGGCTGTTTATAAAAGGATATGGTCCTTAAGATCTTTAAAAGAATTTTGCATTGAAAACACATGGAGATTTTGGGGGTGTCCTATGAAAAATCCTGGTTCAATATGAAATGGTTATGCATGCCCTGTGTTTTTTTAGGATTTGTTGTCAGTGCAGATTCTGAGAGGCCCAATGCACCACATGGCCTGAATTAAAGAATATTGTAGTTGTAGGTATAAGCCCCCGGAAACACAGCCTCTTTATTTCCCTGTATTGTCATTGTGGGGAAAGTTTACAGTCTATCAAGAGGCTGGGTGCCTTCTGGGTATCTGTGAGGAATCTAATATTCAGTGTGAGTAGAGTTGATCAATCGGGGAGGGGGAGTTATTCGCATAAGAGTTTTTGCTCTCTGTAGCACTGGTTGAAGTACAGGAGACATCGTGTGCTATCAGTGCAAGTTGCTATGTGGCCTCCTGCCTGAGGAGATGTTAAGGGTCATCATGCCCCTCACAGCCATTTCCCAGGGTATTGAAGAATAGCAGTGTTGGAGGAGTTCCTCTTGTGGATCAGAATTGGTTAAGTAGCAGGAAGCAGAGAGCAGGAATAAATGGACAGTGCAGGGGATGTAGAAAGTGGAATCCCCCACAAGGATTGGTCATGAGACCTGTGCTATTTAACTTGAATCATGAAAATTAATATCTATTGTGAAGAGCTCCAAAAGGACCTCTCCAAACTGAGTCAGTGGGTGGTAAAATGGCAAATGCGATTCAGTGAAAACAAGTATAAATCTATGCATGCCAGAGGGGCGGAAATCTTAATTTCATACATGCTCATGGTGACATGATAGGCATTTATCAAATTATGGATGTTCATGGATGTGGAGCTTGCCTTCATGGTAGTACGCTGTCCACTCGTGCCTGTGTGCACGAGTTTAGGTCCTCTAAAGAGTTTGGGCCTGTCACTGGTTCCTTTTAGTGGCTATACCATGCTTCCTTTCAGCAGGACCACGGAGGGCTGAGTAATTGGAGTTTGATATATTATAGGATGACACTCTGATTCCCCTCGCCAAATATAAGACGCAATGGATAGACACTACCAGTGCGTGAGACTGTGGACGAGACAACTGATCACAAGAAATTAAATCTGTTCAGTCATTTTAAATTTCTGGGGTTTTAATTTAAGTTTTTTTATTCTGTCTGGTGCATATTTGAGAGCCATTTTGAGACCTAGATAATTTTTAAAAAACAGGATATAATTTTAAAAAACAAATAAAATAAAACTTGGGGCAAGGAGGGAGGCACATAGCTCACAGCTGCTTTCAGAAAGTCAAGTCGCTATTCCAGGATTTCAAAGTCCAGCATCCTGCCTGACACACAAAGACTGAGGCTGCCAATAGTCATGTAACAACTCTTTGAAAGCTTCCTCCATTGAGGCCTGTAGTCATATGGGGAAGCAAATCCCCCACATCTTGCCAACACAGTTGAGCTCAATGTTACCACCCTGCTGCTGCAGCTGCTTAGAAATAAGAGGAAGCAGGGAGATGCTGGAGTTAATGTTCCAAAAGGGGCTAAATTAGTCTACGTATTACAGAAGACACTTCTGCTCTACCTTTGACCTTCAGTTTAACTTTGATGCTGTGCTAAGCACCGTTGAGACAGTTCAGTGTTTGAGAAGTTAACTAATAAATGAGATTGTTCCTCTTCTCATTTCTGCCTCTTCTGTGAGTACCCATTTCTATGAATATCTGGAGGTTTCAGGAATAGCATTCCCCTTGTGGTTAGAGGCACCACACAATTGTGCTTTTTAAACCCTGCAATCTAGCTCCTGGGAAGGACAGGCAAGTCGGTTGCTCATCTTGTCCTCAGAGAAAGCCCCCAAAATATTCCTACCAGAGGCAGAGTGGCAATTGGATCCACTTGCCTCAAAAGTCAAGGCGGATAGTACTGAAGGCCTAAATATTTTGACACCTGGGGCAGAAAATTATACAGGTGCCTCTCCCTGGGAGCAAAAACACAACAATAATAAAATAGCTTATAATTTGCTGCCCTTTTATGAAATCCAAACCCAGGAGCCAGAGACTCTCTAGGGGTAAAGTCAGCCCTGGTAGACCTACCTTCAGCTTCCTTCAGGACCCTGAAAAGAACAGTGGTACTGGAATCATGGTCAGGAGAGGATGCCCATTCCAGGTGTCTAAAGACAACTTTATCAGACAGGGCATGGGCAACATCAGGGAGGCCTCAGCCATAGAGTGCTCCTACATGCAGACAGATTAGGTGTTTGTTTGTTTGTTTGTTTGTTTGTTTGTTTGTTTGTTTGCTTGCTTGCTTGCTTGCTTGCTTGCTTGCTTGCTTGCTTGCTTGCTTGCTTGCTTGCTTGTTATAATCCAGACAGATTCATTTAGATTAGGAATAGCCAATGAATGCCCTCTAGATGCTGTTGGATTGCAACACCAAAGCACCATGGATGATGGAAGTTATAATCCAACAACCTCTGGAGGACATCACAGAATCTACTCTTCATTTAGATGGGTAACCAACCAGAGGTGTCTGGATAAAGGAAATTTATAAATAGTGGCAGAGTTGAAATCATGGATGCCTCCTCCCTCTTTTTGATAGTTCCCAGGAAGCTTTAGTTGCAATCCTCTATCTATTTACCTGTGAGTGAACTCTATTGAACACATTGGGATTTATTTCTGAGGCGGCGCACATCTAATTGTTCTGTTAGAGAGGCAAAAGCCACATGGGAGTAGCTAGGATTTATATTGGGGGGGGGGCAGAACTGAGCTATCTGAGACGTGATTAGCCAGTTATTTTTATTTATTTACTTGATTGGGAGGGGCAGATGCCCCCCTCCCTGCCTTCCCTTGGCTAGGCCCATGAAAAGCCTTTCTCAGCTTCAAATGGGTGCAAGAAGTTCAGGAGGAGGGGAAATTTTGTGTGCCCTCCAAACAACAGTACGTTGATCCACACAGATAGCTGCGGGCAGAACTTCCACATTCAGTTCGCAACTAGATCTAGTGATTGCAAGCAAATGAAGAAAAGAAGACTATGAGTTAAAGTACAGAAATGAATGATAAAGCCATGTTATGGATTTTTCTGATCAGGGTGAACATTACCTACTGTATTCTGAGAAATCTGTTGCATTCTGTTGGCACACATTCTGTTATTTTGCATGCACCACTGGCTGTATAAACAAACAAAGCTAAAAGAAATAAAAGAAACAGCCATAATTTGCATTACAACCTCAGAATAGTAGCTCTGGGAAGAATGCCTTGAGATAACTCTGGAATTTTATCATGTGGATGCCCAGGTAGGTACTCATTGTGGAATTACACGATCATGCAACTTTAAAGTTGCATCTATCATGTAATTCCAAATGTCAACTGTTCATCAATTTTGAACATGTGAGGTACTTGCAACTGCCGTTAAGATTGGTATGAAAGTGCTTAGTTTACCTTCCAGTTGGGGCTTGGCCAGTATCTATGTATGCAGGATTGGGATGCAAATGTAATATAAATTGGGCACGGGCACACTATAAGCTTATTGAATCAAGGAATTCAGAGAAAAGAGGAATTTCAACATCAGTAGGTTGGAAAGAGTATCTCTTCTCAACCAAGGGAAGGACTAACGGTCGCCAATAAAGGTTAACTATAAACATCTTTGTGCTTGTTGCTTAAGCAGCCACCAATTAGATCAATATGGCGCTGCTCAGCAAAATAGCCTTGGATTTTTGTGAAACATTATACACTTGCCATTTCAAACGATGCAAAAACACACTCGCACACATACAGGCACAACCAGATTGCCCTGAGCATCTGGGCAAAGCTGAGAACAGTTCTAATGTATTTGTAAGTGTATGGCAGGACTCTTTGCCGCACAAGTACAACAAAGCCAGGATTAAACAGGAGGCTTATTTTGCAGCCAAGTAGGACCCTTTGGCAGGGAAAAGATGTGGTGGGATTAACTATACTTACCTAGCCTGCTCTACCAGCTGGGATGTGCTCAGCGACCAGCTCTCCAGCCGTCCTTGCAGCTATTTGAAGTGTGCTGAATTAGCAAGTTTGGCACCTGGGGTTTTTAATCACCTGAAAGAGCCACAGCATAAGAAAGGTGTCCTCCCGACCCCCATACAGCCCAACCGGGTCCATCCTGATCTACAGCTTCTACCAGGCCCAGCCAGCATGACCATCTGCCTGGAACCGATGGGAGATGTAGTCCCAAACATGAGGTCACCATGGCCTTGCTAGGTGGGGCTGATGGGAGTTGTGGTTCAAAACATCTGGTGGGCCCTAGGTTGATGAAGGAGGCTGCTGAACTATCACTGCCTTTCCTTCTTCCTGTCTGGTCACTGTGCTGACCTCCCAATCACAGAGCAATCTGGCCTGTTTTCCCGAGTAACTGGGATATATTCACATCCTTGGCTTTCTTCCCTTCCTCTCCCTTTTGTTTGTTCCTCCAGGGGAAGTCGCTGGCAGGCAAGCGCCTCACAGGCTTGATGCAATCTTCTTGACAGCATCGTCTCAGCAAGCGGTCGCTGGCATCTCCGAAGGACAGCTGCACTCACTCAACCTCCTCCACGGCGGAAATATCATTTGGGGGCAAATGGGTCACTGTGTGTGTGCGTGTCTGTGTGTGTGTGTGTACGGCTGGGAGTGCAAACGAGATGGGAAGAGAAAGAGACGGAAGGGAGCACAGGGAAGGCGAAGGGAACCACGAGGGAGAGCCTGGCCCACCCGGAGGTTCCTCTTTTCATAGTTTACATCAACACTTTTCTACTTGTACAGCTTTGTAATGGCACTGAGTTCAATCCAGATAATTCTCTGTTTCTCGTTTGATTTCAGAGGAGCACAACTTGCTGTATGCAGGATGCCAACTTAGGCAGAGATGGTTGGGGGGACTGACTATGGGTGTCATTTAATGTAGGGGCCCTAAGAGAAATCTTGATAAAGATTTGGCTGAGATCCGTATTCGTAATGCAGGCATTTTCTCACACTCATATCTCCTCTTGCTGCTGCTGCTGCTGCTGCTGCATGTGTACAGG